AAGAGTTCAAAGAATTCAAGGAATATATTACACAAGCAATAGCAGCAATAAAGCAAATCAAGGCTGATATATCAGAAATTAAGAACACACAGTAGAGCAAATTAAAAGTAGAGTGGAGAGTCTCCAAAATAAAATGAAGCAAGCAGAAGAAAGAATCTCAGAATTGGAAGATATTTCCTGTCATCAAGGGGAAGCAAACAAAAAGCTGGAAGCAGAGCTGGATCAGGCCAAAAAAAGTATTCAAGAATTGAAAGATACTATTAAGAGGCCAAAGGTAAGAGTTATGGGAGTCCCAGAAGGTGCAGAAAGACAAACTGGTTTTACAGATATATTTAATGAAATAATAAAGGAAAATTTCCCTAATCTGGAGAAAGAATTGGGAAACAAGATCCAGGAGGGACACAGAACTCCCAACAGTCTTGATCAAAAGAGATCTTCACCAAGACATATGATTATCAAGCTCTCTTCAGTGCACGTGAAAAACATCAATTGACATATAAAGGAATGCCAATTAAACTCACAGGTGATCTCTCACAGGAAACTCTACAGGCAAGAAGAGAATGGAGTGACATATTCCAGATTCTAAATGAAAAAAATGGTGGCTTAGGATAACATATCCAGCAAAGCTTTCTTTTATCTTCAAAAATGAAATAAAATTCTTCTACGGTAGAGAAAAGTTAAAAGAATTTGCCTCTTCCAAACCTGCCCTACAAATGATACTTCAAGATGTTTTCTTAACAGAGAAGAGGAATAGCACCCAACAAAACCAAAGGCAAATGAGAAGAACATCCCAGTAAAATGTTGACAGAAGACTAAACCAATCAACAACCCATTCCTAAAATGACAGGACCAAAGTACCACCCATACATATTAACCCTGAATGTAAATGGCTTAAACTCAATCAAACGTCATAGATTAGTAGACCAGCTTAAAAAACAAAATCCATCTATTTGTTGTCTAGAAGAGACACACTTCACCAACAAAAATCAGCAGAAGCTATATCTCATGGATTTTGGTGTTTTTGTTAGTTTCATCTCTTCAAAACAGCTTCTTGTGATTAAATTTTTCAGTGACTCATAGATCATATAATAGCAACATTTTCTTCAAGAGGGTTCTTGATTTTCTTTTTCATTTCTTCAGCAATACATTAATCTATCAGTAGCATGTTATTTAACATCATGGTGTTGTTAATTTCTTTTTTCTTTTTGTTTATCTTGTGTTGTGGCTTTCCATTTAAGGGGATGCATAATAGCTGTGCAATGGAGACTGTCATATCTAGAAACATGTTATTTAACTTCATGTCATTGTAAATTTCTGTTTTTCTTTCTATTGTTGATTTTGTATTATGACTTTTCATTTGAGGGCATGTACAGTAGCTGTGAAATGGAGACTAACATCTAGATGTGAGGATGCAATGTAGTATGCATTTCTACTTCGGGACAAAGATGGACTGACAATGAAACTGTTTATTATATCTTGACAACAGGATGCTGGGCTCTCTGCCATTGTTCATACCCGCAATGATGGACATATGACTGTGTATGAAGAACTATATTTTAGTAATGATATAGAGGAACTAGGTGGGGGCTGGGGAACTGTGGAGGGGTTAAGGGAAATACCAGGAGCCTATGGAACTGTATCATAAAATGATAAATAATAGTAATAATAAAATTTTTTTGCTTCTAATTTCTGGAGCTTTATTCCCTAAATTAACGAAACCTTACTCAACATAATGAGTTAAAACTATCCAGTTTTAAAATGTTCGTTTTTGAGGCCTGGTGCAGTGGCCTAGCAGCTAAAGTTCTCACCGTATGGACACTGGTTCTAATCCTGGCAGCCCTGCTTCCCATCCAGTTCCCTGCTTGTGTCCTAGGAAAGCAGTCTAAGATGACCCAAAGGCAGAGGCTCCTGGCTCCTAGCTTCAGATTGGTACAGCTCCAGCCATTGTGGTCACTTGGATAGTGGATCATCAGATGGAAGATCTTCTCTGTCTCTCCTCCTCTATATATAAATCTGACTTTGTAATAAAAATAAATAAATCTTTAAAATTTTTCTTTATTTTTTAAACTATTTTATTTATTTGAGAAACAGAGTTACAAAGAGACAGGGAAAGAAAATAAGAAAATAAGAGTGCTTCTCCACCCACTGGATCACTTCCCATAATGGCCGCTGGAGCTGGGCTGGTCCAAAGTCAATAGTCAGAAGCTTCTTCTGGGTCTCCCATGCCAACAGCCCTAGCCCTTGGGCTATCCTCAGTTCCTTTGCCAGGAACATTAGCTGGCAGCTGGATGGGAAGTGGAGCACCCAGTGCCTGTACAGGATACCAGCGTTGTTGAGACACAGCAATCCCCTTCCGTTTTTAATATACTTCTCCTCCCCCTCTTTTTTTTTTAAATTAGAGAGAAGAAGGAGAGACAGGCCATAGATAGCACACTCCCATCTGTTGAGTCCCTCTCTGAATGCTTACAACAGCCAGGAGTGAAACCAAGGGTTGCAAATCTAGGCCTCCTACATGGGTGCAATGACTCAACTAATTGAATCATCACCTGGCTTCCCGCAGTCTGCATGATAGAAAGCTGGTGTCAGAAACTAAAGCCAAAAGTCAAACCCTGGTACTGTCATGTGGGATGTTGGCATCTCAACTGGTGTCTTCAATTCCCAAATATAATTTTTAAAATAGAGTGGAGAAGAACTTGGCAAGATAATTCAATGGCTAAAACTTCATCTTGCAAGTGCCAGTGTCTCATTGGGTGCCGGTTCGTGTCCCGGCTTCTGCGCTTCCCATCCAGCTCCCTAATTGTGACCTGGGAAAGCAGTAGAGGATGGTCCAAAACCTTGGGCCCCTGCATTCACGTGGGAGACCAGAAAGAAGCTCCTGGCCCTTGACTTTGAATCATCTCAGTTCTAGTTGCTGTGGCCACTTTGGGAGTGAAACAGTGGATGGAAAATCTTTCTGTCTTTCTCTTCATAAACCTGGTTTGCCTTTCCAATGAAGCTAAAAAAAAAATCTTTAGAAAAAGAAGGAGAAAAAGAGGAAAAAGAAGAAGAGGAGGAGGAGGAGGCAGAGGAGGAAGGTGAAGAAGATTAGAAGGGTGAGGATGATGAATGAAGTAGGGACCGCATGATGACTCAGCTGGCTAATCGTACGGCACCAGCATCCCATGAGCTGCTGGTTCTAGTCCCAGCTGCTCCACTTCCCATCCAGCTCCCTGCTTGTGGCCTGGGAAAGCAATGAAGGATGGCCCAAAGCCTCGGGCCCCTGCACTCATGTGAGAGATCCAGAAGAAGTTCCTTGCTCCCTTCTTCTGATCAGCTCATCTCTGACCACTGTGGGCATTTGGGGACCGAACTAGCACATGGAAACTATATGACTCTATCTTTCTGTTTGTGTGTGTCCTTTTCTCTGTAACTCTGCCTTTTAAATAAAAATAAATTATTTTTATTTTAAAAATAATAGAAAGGAAGAAGAAATGGCAGAGCCCAGAGCTTCAATATGCTGATGGTCCTTTTGCTCAGTGGGTCTACTCACATGGAGTCAATCAATTATAGATTGCGCAAAAATATCACATTTGTATTAAATCACACATTTTCCTGTTGCTATTCTGTAATAGTGCACTATAGCAATTATTTTCATAAGCATTTACTGTATTTGTTTAATAACTAATGAAAAACAATGTAAGGTATATGGGAAAATGTGTAGATTATATGCAAATATTTTACTATTTTTTAAAGAGTTACTTATTTTTATTGGAAAGTCAGATTCACAGAGTGAAGAAGAGACAGAGAAACATCATTCATCTACTGGTTCATTCCCCAAGTGGTTGCAACAGCCAAAGCACAAACTGTAGAGAACTGCGATTGTTGCAATCTCAAACTGTCAAGTGCCTGAATGCCTTGCTCAAAGCTTAAGTGCAAAGACTATCAAGAAATGATTTTTGAAAAAATGCACAGAGTGGGCCTGGTGCGGTGGCCTAATAGCTAAAGGCCTTTCTTTGCCTGCGCCAGGATCCCATAGGGGCGCCAGTTCACATCCCAGCTGCTCCACTTCCCTTCCAGCTCCCTGCTTGTGGCCTGGGAAAGCAGTCAAGGACAGCCCAGGACCTTGGGATCAGGCGCCCGCGTTGGAGACCCAGAAGAAGCTCCTGGCTACTGGCTTTGGATAGGTTCAGCTCCAGCTGTTGCGGCCACTTCCGGAGTGAATCAGCAGAGGGAAGGTCCTTGTCTCTCCTTCTCTCTGTAAATCTGCCTTTCCAATAAAAATAAATAAATCTTAAAAGGAAAATGCACGGAACAATTATAAACGCTCTTGCTGCACACAAGTCCATCTCTGAGGCTTTATTTTTCCTTTCTAAATCACCAGTTAACAAGTATTGCATGCCCATAATAAAATAAAAAAGGACTATTAAAACCCAAAATTCCGTTCATCTTTTTAGACAAAGTGACTTATTTCCCCTTTGTTCTAACATCCAGGCTGAGGGGAGAGATGCATTAACGCGAATAAAGATGCAATTACTAAAATGGCATGAAGTCCAATAGGTGCAGTGGGAAAAGTTATACACTGCGCTGGCGAAAGCAATCGCTTTTACTTATCACACGCTTATTTTCCCCCCAAGGCTTGGTTTTATCTAGCTGTCCTGCAGAGCACACACCATTTCCCTTCTGGAGGCAAAATCCGGTGTCAGCCTGGGACAGAAAAGCTGGCCCTGGTGAAGCCTTTTGAGAATTTACACGGGCTTCCCCATCAACTTTCCAAGCAGCAGCTGCGCCGCAGCCAAGGTCGGTTCCTCGGGTCAGACGCGGGGCCAGGAGCGCACGGCGGGCCAGCAGGGGCCGGGGCAGCGGCCGCACGCGTCGTCCGCACCGCACGGACAAGTAGGAAGCTCGGCTGGGGTGTGGACTTTGTCCCTCCCCGATCTCCGCGCCCTCGAGCGAGCGTTCGCTCGGCGCTGGCAGCCCGAGCCAATTGCAAAAGCCCTCCCCAAGCCCGGCCCAGCGGAAGGAGCGAGTCGGGAGTTGTTTGTTTCTCCGCGCACCCCCCACCGCCCCTCCTTGCGGAGAGAATCGGGGTGACTGACTGGTCCGAGAGAACGAGCCCCGAACTCGCAGCAGCAAGGATGAAATTCATCTTGGACGTCGTGCTGCTCCTGCCCTTGCTGGTTCTCTTCTCCCTAGAGTCTCTGGTGAAGCTTTTTATTCCTAAGAAGAAAAAATCCGTCAGCGGAGAAATTGTGCTAATCACTGGAGCGGGACACGGAATCGGGAGGCAGACCGCCTATGAATTTGCCAAACTGAAAAGCAAACTGGTTCTCTGGGATATCAATAAGGTAACAGCTTTTTCTGTGCTTTTACTTTGCTGCGGACCGACGCGTCTGCATCTTGCCCGCAGCCTCCCTTTTACGGCATCTCGGTCAAACAGTTAAAAAAGCAATTGTCACATTTTGCAGGTGGGAATGAATTCGTATGCTTATGATCACATGATGCTAAGATCCAAAGCGTGTTTAAAGATGCCCAGTGACTTCACGTGACCAATTTGGCTTTGACCCTCACTTTTGCCTTCAGAATCATTTGTAACCTCTTCAGTCTGCTATCACTTGGTCCCTTTACCTCAACAGGGGAAAAGTATGAGTGTTTAGCTAGTATAATAAAAGATTAAGAGGCTTGCAATTATGAATAAAAAGACCTGCCTGCAGTAAGTATTTTAAAAGATTATGCTCAACGACTAGCAAGATACTCTGCCTTCTTTATTCTGAAGGGTCATTTTTCAAAGGTTTATTTATTTTGAGAGAGATCTGCCATCCACTGGTTCACTTGCTGGGTAGTGTCACTGGCTGGAACTGAGCCAGATGGGAGCCAAGAGCTTCCTCCAGGTCTCCCACGTGGGTGGCAGGGCCCCAAGGACTTGAACCACCTCCGGTTGCTTCTCCCTGGCCATTAGCAGGGACCTGGAGCAGAAGTGCAGCAGCAAAGACAAGAACTGGTGGCCATAAGGGGTGTGGGCGTTGCAGGTGGCAGATTTTCCCAGCTACACAGGAGGAACTTTTAAGAACTTTGTCTTTTTTTAGTATAAAGCACAGGGCAGGTGTTTGTGCAGCGAGGGACGCCAGCATTCCCTGTCATTGGTACTGCTTCCAATTGCAGTTTCCAATTAATGCACATCTTGGGGGACAGCAGGTGACGGCCTATGTAGTGGAGCCTCCTCTGCCCACTCAGGAGATCCTGACTGAGTTTAGGCTCCTGGATTATTATCAACATTTGGGGAGCAAACAAGCACGTGGAAGGTTTGTCTCTTTGCCTTTCAAAACGCACGAACAATAAAACAACAAAATCTTCTATGTCATCCCCCCACCCCCAGTACACAGGAAGATGTGGATTTACGGAAGACCTAGAATCTAACCTTCTGTTTGACCTTTGTTGGATGAGTAAAGGGGTGGCATAAATGCCACTCTAGCTGACTAGTTGAGATCCATTGCTGTAAACAAGAATTCAGAAAATGAGGGTAAATGAGAGCTAACTCAGTGAGTGACGGATTGAAGCAGTAATCAACAAACACCTATTGAGCAATGATTGCCTGGCCCTGGGGACAGGCTGGCAAACAGAAGGCAGAGTTCCATGACCTCCATCTGGTAGGGAAAGTAGACATTATGAAATTAAATATACACTGAAAGATACACCTTGGGCTTCCTCTGGGCTTCCATGTGCTCAAAGGCAGCGATGGTTCCCAACTGTTTACCTAGATAACTACCTGATGCTTTAGGTTCTTTTCTGCAGATTGAATAAAATAACAAACTATCTTAGCAGGTGGGAAGATAATAGGTAATACGTACAAAGCTCTTAACATAGTCCTTGGCACGTGGTAAACACACTAGAGGGCTAATTATTCCTGCTTGAAAAGTAATTATTGAGGTTCATGACTCTTGGTGCCTACCTTCTGGTTGTGTAATCTGAAGTGAGGTGCATTTGGCTGACAAAATGTTTCTTTGAGTACCAGACAGAGCAGGGAGGGAAACCAAGCTGCTTGAGATACACTGTGTAATAAAATAGAGACTAGTTGGGTGATATTAACTGTAATTTAAGAAACACGGGACAATGTATGGTGGGAAGGCCAGGGGAAGAGTGTTGATGTGATTCAGGTGGCCAGGAAGGGCCTCGCTAAGATACAGACCAATGGGTCAGAGGATGCTGAGAGCGCTCAGCCACTGTGCAGCCTGGCACAGGGGAGAGAGAGAAAAGTAAAAGAAAGGCCTAGATCTGTGCAGGGCCATTGAAGGTAGTAGCCTCTAATCCCTTGTAACCATTGAGCACTGAAATGTGGCTAGTCTGAATTGAAACGTGCTGTCGGTGGAGATCATCCGCTTCGTTTCAAAGACTTAGTATGAAAGAAAGCGTGCAGGGCCCGGCGCGGTGGCACAAGTGGTTAAAGGTCCTCGCCTTGCACGCCCGGGATCCCATATGGGCGCCGGTTCTAATCCCGGCAGCCCCGCTTCCCTTCCAGCTCCCTGCCTGTGGCCTGGGAAAGCAGTCGAGGACGGCCCAAAGCTTTGGGAACCTGCACCCGCGTGGGAGACCCGGAAGAGGCTCCTGGCTTCGGACCGGCATAGCATCGACCGTTGCGCTCACTTGGGGAGTGAATCATCGGACGGAAGATCTTCCTCTCTGTCTCTCCTCTCTGTATATCCGCCTTTCCAATGAAAAAATAATAAAAATAAATAAAAAAAAAAGAAAGCATGCAGAGTATTATGTAAGTGGTTTTTTATGTGTTGAGATGATAGTGATGATAATATTCAGTTAAATAAGAGGATGAATTGAGCAGTTTAGTCTGTGGCTGATACACTTCAGTTGATTTTTCCATTGAGTAGTTTTTCCCTGCATATCAGTTACGATGAAGCTGTGGGTTGTCGGTACTACCCATTATCCAGCTGTTGTTTATTTGTAAGCTATTAGCATTTGCTCTTCCCAAACTTTGCTGCCTATTTTGGAGCAGATAGTTCAGCCTATTTTACCATTTACTCTGAGTTACAGACTGTGTGTGATAATATTCAGCCTCCCTTTGATTGCCAACATATCTGTCTGTCTATCTATCTATCTATCTATCTATCTATCTATCTATCTATCTATCTATTTGGAAAGGCAGATTTTAACAGATAGTAGAGACAGAGAGAAAGATCTTTCATCCACTGGTTCACTCCCCAAATGGCCTCAACTGCCAGAGCTGAGCTGATCTGAAGCCAACAGCCAAGAGCTTCTTGTGGGTCTCCCATGGGGGTGCAGGGTCCCAAGGCTCTGCACTGTCTGTCAGTGCTTTCCCAGGCCACAAGCAGGGAGCTGCATGGGAAGTGGAGTAGCTGGGACATGAACCAAGGCCCATAACAGATGCTGGCACTTGCAAGGTGTGAGGAGTAACTACTGAGCCATAGTGTCAGACCATGATTCCAGTTTCTATTCTTTGTCATCTCCCTGTATATCAACTGAAAAACATCAAGTCCTAGTGAAACAAATGTGAAACAAAGTGCGAGAGAAATTTATTCTGTGATGTGTTGGACTCGCATTTGGCCAGATGTATGTGTTCTAGTAAGTTTGGAAATAAAACTTTCAGTTTCCTTTAGTTGTATATGAAGCCACTTCAATGTGGGGAGCAGGGGTGTTTATCCTTGTGGTATGGATGCCTGTGCTCCATACAGAGTTCCTAGGTGGCTCGATTCCTGGTTCCACCTTGATTCCAGCTTCCTGTTCATGAGCACCCTGAGAGGCAGCAGGTGATGCCTCAAGTAGTTGGGTCCCTGCCATCCACACAGTGTGCAAATAGCTGTTAGACCACCGGTGTGGTTTAAGGAATCATAACAAGAAGAGCCTGTACGTGGTCAATCTGCTGAAACCATCATAGGCTGAACTACATTTTCTATCTGTTCCTGCAATCCACAAATGGATATAAAACTTAGAGCGACCACTTTGTGAGTACGCTGCTAAATTAAATTTTGTTCTTATAAGTGGCTGCTAGAAAAATTAGAATTATACCTATAGTTCATATTACATTTCCATGGGATAGTACAACTCTACAGGTTTGAGAGACAGAGTTCTAGGTCATAAATTTTCCTGTAACCTATGGTATTTTTGTTTGTTTGTTCTGGCGAATCAGTAGAAAAGTTGGAGACAATTCCTATTCAAGATGATTGTCTTGCCACTGAGTTAAGAAGAAAACTAAACAAGGAAGAGAGTGAACAAGGAAGGAAAGCAGGCAGAGCAGTTAAGATGGAATCATGTGACTAGGCAAGCAGCAGGTGACATAGTGGTGACTCGTCAGACCAGGTTGGCAGTAACAGTAGTCTTAAGAAATGATCAGAAAAGTTAAGGACTGAGTAGATGTTAAGCCTAACAATTAAGATGCCTTCACCCCACAGCAGCGTGCCTGGATTTGATACCATGCTCTGCCTGACTCTGACTTTACACAAGTGTAGAACCTGAGAGGTGGAGTTAAGCAGTTGGCTCCATGCCCCAGCATGCTCCCATTGCATTCTCAGCTCCTGGCTCTGGAGGTGACCCAGTTCCAGCTGTTGTAGTCAAATGGGGAGAGAATCAGTAGATGGAATCTCTGCCTCTCTCTGTCTCTGTGCCTCACAAATAAGCAAAGAAAGAAAAGAGGGAGGAGGAAGAAAGGAAGAAAGAGACAATGTGGTTTCATTAGATGAAATTGGTTTAAGGAAACATCATTTGAGAGTGTGTTATTATTTTCAAAAATGAGATTTCATTGACAGTTTGATAGCTATTTTGTTAGTTCTTAATGTCCATTAAGCCAAATAATAATTTGGCAACCCTAGGGTACTGAGTTTTTCTTGAAATATTGTAGATTTAAATGCTAAATTGGATTAAGGGACAGACAGGGTGGGGACTTTGAACAGTCCTGGTAGAAGAAACCAGAGAAATTGAACTCTGGGCTGGGGAGTACGTGGAGAATGAGGAGGAGAGTGGAGTTGAGTTGAATCAAGCAGGAAGCACAGAGAGGGGTCAGACTGTGGTCTTGGCATAGAAGCTATAAATTATTCCTTGAGGTGATTTCTGAGTGAAGATGGCAATATCCAAATGCGTCCATCTCAGGGTGTCGGAAGTCAACAAGCTCCTATACTCGTTGTTGAGGCTGCCACGGGCGTGGTTATTCATAGCAGAGTCAGTGGATGCTTCAGCTTTGTTCTGGGGAGACTGACACGAGGAATTTGTCATTCCGTTCTGTATGGATGATCTGGTACTTTTTAACCATTCTCCTGCTTGTGCTGTGATTGGCTACGTTTGAAAAGAGAGTGCTGAGTGCACAGAATACACAATCTGTTTACTGAATGAAAAAGTGAATTTATAAATAAACTGCAAGGAAATAACGGGAGGCATCAGAAAAGCACTTAAATATGTGGTATTATCAGTGTTGGTTGGAAAGGGCAGAAAAGCCTAAAGGAAAAGCCCAGAAACTGAAGAACTGAATCCAATGCAGACAAAAAAAGTTGCCTGGGGAGAACTTGAAGAATTCTGGGCAATTCATGTACTGGGGGTCAAATTTAACAGAAGAGATTCATTCTCCCCTGAGGGCTGGTTGTTTTTAATATTTATCAAATGAATGTAGGAGCTGTGTGAAAGTTTTCACCCAAAGAATTTACGGTGTAAATTGATTGCCTAGTTCAGAAAGTGTGGAAAGTTGACCTTTGACCTGATTAAGGATGACCAAGGGTCACAGGGCGAAAACGAGCCAGTGTGAAGGGGAAGCCTCCACCCACACTTTCCCACTGCAGACGATGGTGGAAAACCTGCCAGCTAGAAGCAGCAGCTAGAAGAGGTTTACATGTTCAAACTAACTTTTTTTTTAAATATAGAGAGACGCCCCAAAGAATGCATACAATTTGCCCAATTTTTTTTTTCAATATGGTAAAATGTAGGGGATGTAAAATTGGCCATTTTTAAGTGTATGGTTCAGTGTTAGTACATCTTGACAGTTGTGCAATGAACTCAGTTGTCTCTGTAGAACTTGTTCATCTTCTCAGACTGAAACTGGGCCTGTTAAACATAACTCCTTGGTTCTCTGTCTCTCCAGCCCCTGGCAGCCACCTGTGATAGTCATACAAGTGAAACTCTACAATATATGTTACTCTGTGCCTGGCATACTTCACCTAGCATCGGGTCCTTAAGGTTGCATATGTTGTAACATACGTTGATACTGAGTAAATGTCATTGTGTATCTTTACTACATTATAAAATACAGTTGTATTTGTAAAGGGGATGTCAAAAACCCCCGGTTAGGTAGGGGAGGACACTGTCCTGTACCTCATTGCCCCTGAGATATTTGATGATGCTTGAAAGATAAGAGCGCCAGGCCGGCACGGTGGCCTAGCGGCTAAAGTCCTCGCCTTGAATGCACCAGGATCCCATATGGGTGCCAGTTCTAATCCAGGCAGCCCTGCTTCCCATCCAGCTCCCTGCTTGTGGCCTGGGAAAGCAGTCGAGAACGGCCCAAGGCCTTGGGACCTGCACCTGTGTGGGAGACCCGGAAGAGCTCCTGGGTCCTGGCTTCGGATTGGCACTGCACCAGCCATTGTGGTTTCTTGAGGAGTGATTCATTGGACAGAAGATATTTCTCAGTCTCTGCTCTCTCTCTATATATATATGACTTTACAATAAAAATAAATAAAATCTTTTTAAAAATTAGAAAAGAAGATAAAAGCGCCTCATCAGACTATTTTATAGTTTGTGAAGACAGATTTCTGTAAAGATTTCTGTAGTAGTAATATAGAATACCAAAAAATGCATAGGAATGAAACAGACATTTTGTGATTTCACCATTACTTTTAGCTCTTGTTTATTTTCCTGTGAAGCTGTGGTGTTTTTATATTTTATTTGTTGAATATTATAGCTAATAGTACGTTAACTTTGTGGTTATAGAGTGGATTAAAATCATGTTTTTGCAAAAATTAAAAAATAAAAAATAAAAAGAAAGAGGAAGAGGGATTAAAGAAGGGGGAGAGAGAGGAAGATTTTTTTTGAAAACTTGTGCCGATGAAATACATGAAATTTGTTCTCTTTGTATTGATTTTTAAATGGCAAAAAATCTTCTTTCCTCTTGTAATTCTAATGATCTCTCTAAGCAAGTTTTCATTTTGCCATCGCCATTTGATTGGATTTTTCTGCAACCTTAACTGTTAACATTAATTACAATATTCCAGAGTGTTAATTCATCAGCAGGTTTGTCCACTGGTGCTCTGACACACCTCCCTCTGGGAACACGTGTCAGTTCTCCCAGGGTTTGTCTGTGCATTAGTTGACAATTTATTAGTTTGCAGAGTTCATGGATTAGCCCTCTATGCAACAGTTTGAAGCATTCCTTTAAAATAAAAAAGGGGGCTGGGGGGAGCTGAATTGGGAAACACTAGGCTAAGCCACTGTGTGGGAAAGCTCACATTGCATATTGGAGAGTCAGTTTTGCTTCTCATCCAGCTCCCTGCTAAGTCCTTGAGTTTGCCAACCCACATGCGAGATGCACATGGAGTTTTCCTGGTTCTGGGCTTTAGTGTGACCTGCTTTGTTGGCAGCCATTTGGGGAGTGAACCAGCAGATGAAAGATTGATATCTCTACGTTTCCAATAAATAAGTACATCTTAACAAAAAACTAAAAGGCAAAAAAATTGGTCAAAAGACAATAAATAAAGATCAGCAAAAAAATTTGGATAGGGTTTTTTAAGTTAGGATCCTGATCCTCCTAACTTTAAGATGACTCAAAATCAGTGCCTCACATGGACTTATCCTGCTTTTGCTCAAGGCCACTCCCTTCCTGTAATTTGTCAGATACGTGGGCGACACTATCTTGACAGCTTACCAAATTGGAAAGCCAGGGTGTCACGTGGTCCCTCCTCCTCCCCAGGGTAACGTGGTTCCTATGGAGTGTACCTCCCAGAGGGAGCGCTCTCTGCCACATTCTTTCTGTGAAGATCTCAATTCCCGTGCTGGTGCCAGAATGACACCATAACTGCATCCCACCTTTCTTCTTTCCTCCAATGTTGTTGCTAAAATCCTCCATCAGTCCATTAGCTGGAATGTTGACTACGGTGCACACACTGGATTCTGGGATGAATGGGTCCCCATTCAGTTTTTAGACAAGAGGAACTATGATGTGTACCTGCCTGACCCGGGCTCCTGCTAGCCTTGAACTCTGCGGTCATCCAGCGACACCAGTCCGCTGGAGTTTCCCCCCTGGCCAGTCTCCGTCTTGGCCTGTGTCCTGTCTCATAAGCTCTTTGGCCCACCTTTTCCTTGACTGTCCTACTCACTCTGCATCCCCTTCTGAAAAGTTTGTACATCCCTGTTCTGTGTTCCCCTAACTCCTTGCTTTTTAACTCATTCAACTGTAGTAGAGTTGAACTCTATGCAACTGCCAATATTCACTGTTATTACAAACACAGTAGCAACTTTATGTGGCCCTGTTGAAGTGTTATTTTATGTGGATTTCCATTACAGTGAGAGCTTTGTGGTGAGAACTCTCGCTTATGCTCTTGACTACAGGGTCCTTCTGCCCTCAGTGACTATCACCTGGATGTTGAAGAGTCGGAGGAATACATGAATGGTTGTGGTTAACTCATGACTTATTGGCAGCTTCTAAATGGATGACCAGGAATCATTTTTAATGACATAAAAAACCCATAATATTAAATTTTTTACAAAATACTGATGATGGAATGCACACACACTCATTCACAAAGTGTGAAATTATGTAGTCAATTTAAAAATGTGCCTGTTAAATTCAGTTCTAAAGAAAGGAAGTCAGAGTATGGAAATGTACTCCTAGCCCTGCCAAAAATGTGTGTTGTGTCAGTTGAATTCTGACTTAATTTAAGTAAACAAATGGGTCTTTAATGGTTTTCAGCTGTTACGATATGCTCATGGTGTTTATTTTGTTCTCATGTGCTTTTATTTTTTTTCCATAGCATGGAATTGAGGAAACAGCTGCGGAATGCAGGAAGCTGGGTGCCCAGGCCCACCCCTATGTAGTAGACTGCAGTAACCGCGAAGACATTTACAACTCTGCCAAGAAGGTAACATGGTGCGGAATCTCACCTCCTGAGAGCCAGGAGTTTTTGGAAGATGACCCAGGCTGTTTATACCACACACAAAATGAGAACCATTGTGGTTTTCCCGCTGTGCCAAGCCGGGCCCCATAGGGCCAGTGGTCCTTAAGCTTTTGCAGTGGACCTTAAGCTTCCTGTTGCAGTGGACCTTAAGCTTTTGTGTGTACTTTCTCAACTAAATCACTTCAGTTATGTGAGCTGTGATGATGGCCTTTAAATTTGGCTGTAAGGGCTTACATACCCTTCTGTAACATCAGCTTAATTTCTCGAATGAGTTTTCTTCTGACTTAGTCCCCAAAGTGAAATTTAGCAAAACATACCTATGTATTTTTTTATATCATTTATCTCATATTTATAGTTGTACAGTAAGTATGCTCATGGACACCTCAGGTCATAAAAGAACATTTGGACATATTAGAAGCAGATGTATTTAATGGACAGGTGTAGTGATGGGCAGCAGTAAGCAGAGTAGCAGTCAGTGGCGTAGACCACACTCAGTGCCAGATCCTTTATACTTGTTATTGTGTTTGTTCCCATAGCAACTCCCAAGGAAGCTATCTGAGTGACTTGAAAAGTTCATGGGAAATGCGTATCATAAGAAAACTTTTTTTTTTATATTTTCAGAATTGTTTAGCATCCAAATCAACTTATTTTAATTCCAGTGTTTCTCATGAACTTTCCAAAGTACTCTTGTATTATTATCTTTGTTTTATAGAGTCAGAATTGAAGTTTTGAGAGATTAAGTAACTTATTCAAGGCCCAAAAGATAGTAAGTGGCACAGCCCATACTCCAGTCAAAGTTCACCGCAGGCTCTGCACTCCTCCCCAGGCCTGCTCTGCCTAGTGGAGAAAGCTTGGAGCACAGAAAGCCATCCAGAAAAACACACACGCAGACCTAAGGGAGCAGGATTCGTCAGCTTCACACTGTGGTCACTTTTATAGAACTCTGATTCACCCAGTGTGTCCCTGAACTTGCCAGTTGACATTTATTGCTCACCCTTTGAAAGGGTGCTTTAAGGATGGCTGCTACACCACGTGCCTCTTGAGCTCTCTCAGTAGAGCAAAGTCAAGAAATTTCCATTGCGAAAGCAAATTACAATCGGCTCAGCTTGTAAGATTGAGTCCTGGACATAAATACCTAGAAAAGTTCTCTTTCTCTCTTTTTTTTTTCACATTGGCACATACGGTTATAGAAAAACTTACGCTCCTTTAGGAATCATTGCATGGAAATCTGTTCTTGTACCTCCTTGTGAATACATTCTTCTAATTCAATTTTTATAGGTCAAGGCTGACGTTGGAGATGTTAGTATTTTAATAAATAATGCTGGTGTAGTCTACACGTCTGATTTGTTTGCTACACAAGACCCTCAGATTGAAAAGACTTTTGAAGTTAATGTACTTGCTCATTTCTGGGTGAGTATGTTTTCTTTTTAAAAAACAAAAAAAATATTTTTTTTTTGGAAAATCACAAAATTTGAATCCTGTCTAGACATAATGAAGTATTCAATGTTAAAATTTGCTCTAGTACACAAAGGAATCATTTTTCACGCAATGAGCAAGTTGCACTAATTATTTCTCCCCCCCTAAAAATATTAATAGTCATAATCTTCAGGCATTGTGTATGTTTTATTCCCAGGCTAGGTCTCTGTGCAGTTTTATTTCTGTCAGTCAATACGTAGACACAGTACAAGCGTGCTTTTGAAGTGTCTAAATATTGCCCAAATAGCTAGTTCCAAACATAGTGCCTCAACATTTTGTGAGTGTGGCATAACTGTTGAGAGTTATGAGACAGAGTTGGTGAGACATGCAGTGTAATTTTCACTAAATGTTGCTAAGTTATTTACACCTGCATGTGCACCGTCTGATGGACAGTCCAGCATCCTGTGGAACAGCATCCTGTTTATTTCTGCATCCCCAGCACGTTTAGGTGCTCGGTAAATGTCTAGTACGTGAAGTGTTAGTGACCAGTGGAAGGTCGTTGACGCTCTCAGTAGTTTCATGATGTAGCCAAGCTGTCTCGTAACGATTTCACATGAAATATGAGTTCGCTGCACAACTGGATAGTTACCCGTCTTTGATAGTTGAGATGATAGAAGGCATCAGTGACAGAAGTGGAGGATCAGTACACATAAGAAGTTAGCAATTTAAGTGAATGGATTGACTTTTACAGTAGGCATTATTTTGCTGGATTTTTCAAATGTTCACGTCCCATCCAGTTGTCCTATTTGCTGCATCAGTAAGCTTAGTTTTTTTTTAATTATATGAAGACAGTGCTTAACAATATATATCTGTGTTGTTAACTATTCCCAATAAGTGTTTTAAATTTCATATTTTATATTAGAAGTGTCCTTTTTTTCTATTTTAATAAAATCTAGACCACAAAGGCATTTCTCCCAGCGATGATGGAGAATAACCACGGCCATATTGTCACTGTGGCCTCGGCGGCGGGTCATACTGTGGTCCCCTTCCTGCTGGCTTATTGGTACGTGACTGTCCATTTCCTTCATTGGCTCCTGTGTGAGATTTCTTATCCTGTCTAGTGAGGGTTCCCTTGATTTCAGTGACAATGGACTTGAAGTTGTTGAAACAGGCAAGGAGAGGTATGCTAAGACTCTTATATAATGACATTCTTAGCTATAAATTTCCTAGATTTCAACAAGAGGACTTTTGGAGGTGGCTGCAGGAATTTATCCAATATAACCAGTCACTTAAAGTATTTCTCATTCATTTTATTTTAAGATCTATTTTATTTATTGAAAGAGTGACAGAGAGGGAGGGAGATCTTCTGTCTGCTTGTTCCTTCCCCAGATGGCTACGATGGCTGGGTCTGGGCCAGGCCAAATCCAGCGACTGGAAACTACCCTGATTTCCTATGAGAAACACAGGCTACCAAGCAAGCACTCAGGCCTTCTGCTACTGCTTTCTCAGGAGCCTTAGCTGGGAGCTGGATCAGCAGTGTGGCAGCCAGGACTCTAGCCACATTCTGATGTGGAATTATTGGCCCCAGGCAGCTGCTTAACCTGCTGTCACGATGCCAGCCACTCATCCATCTTGGCAGCAAGCAACTACAAAACAGGATCAGTGTTGCTCTACCAGTAATAAAAATTAGCACTGATGATCCTTAGCATCAATAAGAATAAAGTTTTGTGGAAACAATGCCAAAGAGAGACAAACAAGGTGTATGTTATGGTGCAGTGGGCTAAGCTGCCACCTGGGATCCTCACACTCCATACTAAAGTGTTGGCTTGAGTCTTGGCTCCTACACTTCTGTCCCAGCTACCTGCTGTGTGCACCAGGGGAGCCACAGGTGATGGCTCAAGTACTGGGGCTGCTATCATCCACGTGGGAACCCTGGACAGAGTCCCAGGTGCCTCTTTTGTCCTGGCTGAATCCTGGTGGTTGTAGCCATTTGGTAGTAAACCAGTAGATTGAAGATACTGCTCTCTTTCTCCTCTTCCTCTTTCTGTCACTCCATCTTGCAAGTAGATGAAAAATAAGTAAATTAATAGGATATTTTTTTAAAGAATATTATCTGAGATTTAAAATGTTAAAGGCATCCACACAGTCATTTTATAAAATTAATGATTATCCTTTTGAAAAAAAAACCGGACCATTAAAATAGCTGAAGGAGCAGCTGTAGCAATTGGGTCTCTGAATTGTCCTGTGAGATGACACTGCTGGTTATATATACCGTAACAGTTCTTGGCCATTCACGTGTCAGGTTGCAATGTGTACACACATATGCATACACATACATATGTACTTTTTCATTATTGTATCTCTTTGGAACTAAGTAAATTCTAAAAGCAGCATGGATGTAGTTGTATATGTAGCTATAGATTTGTGTGCATATATACAATCTTAGGCATAGGTGGGAGATTTGTGTTTATATATATAGTGTGTATGTGTGTGGTGTGTGTGTGTGTGTGTGGTGTGTGTGTGTGTGTGTATCTTGCATTTTGAAAATTGGCTAGGAATGGAGTGGTGTTTGATGTAGCAGCCAATGTGCTTTTTGGGGAACCTGCATTCCGTTTCTGAATACTTGGGTTGAGCCCCAAGTCCATACCCTGTTCCTGCCTCCTATTAATGTGTTACCAGGGAGAGGGTAGATGATGGCTCAAGTACTTGGGTCTTGCTCACTAAGGACACAGACCTGGGAGCTACACAGGCACAGAGTATTCTGTTAGGACGATCTACGCCCTGTGTCTGTTTTCAGTTCCAGCAAGTTTGCTGCTGTTGGGTTCCATAGAGCCTTGACGGACGAGCTGGCTGCCTTGGAACGCACGGGAGTCAAGACGACGTGTCTCTGCCCTAATTTTATAAACACTGGCTTCATCAAAAATCCAAGTACCAGGTAAGCTGAGACAGACTTTAGGTGAAGGGAGTGGTGGCAATTGTGAATATCAGCTGCTCTGTGGTTTTTTTTTTTCTAAATGTAATCCTTGAAACACCTGCTGTACCACACACCCTTGATTCATCTTGAGTTCAGCTTCTGTAGATGATGGCAAAGCAAGGCGAGGGGAGGACATAGCAGAGGGTGGATGCATAGACATAGGTGAACTTGCTAGCCTTTCCCTTTTTTCCTTGCCCTAAGCAATGGTTCTGAGATTTAAATACACAGCATTTCTCAAGAGTGCTTGAGCACCACACAGGGAGATACTGCACCTCTCACGGAAATTGATGTATTGGGTTTGACTGGGATAAGGCTGTGCTGAGAAAGAGATTGGAACTCCAGATTTAGAAAGCATCATGAGTTATTCTGAGAGAGAATTCAGGACCACAATGGGGAAAACACTTCCTCTGGGTAATCCAGATGTTATCTTCCCAAATGAGCACCAGCCCACCATGTTTCCATGGTTAGACACCTCTCCACATATAGATGAAATGTCTAAATTTTACACAAATGCCATACTTTTTAAAAAAGATTTGTTCGACTTATTTGAAAGGCAGAGGTAGAGAGAAGGAGGAACAGAGAGATCTCCTATTTGTGCATCTGCTGGAATGGTGCTGATGTGAATCCAGGAGCCTGGAGCTTCTTCTGGATCCCAAATGCTTGGACCCTCTTCCACTGCTTTCCCAGGCACGTTAGCAGGGAGCTGGATTGCAAGTGGAGCAGCAGGAGATGCCATCACAGGCACCATAAATGGCCTGTTCTACACATGAGGTTCTCTGGACACTAAGCAAAGTGCTTACTGCCCTTGGTATTACATGTGGTGTGGATTGTTGCACATCAATAAGTTACTTTTGGATAGGTGTTGGTCCTTGCAGTTAAATGTCCTCATCTGGTATCAGAGCGCCTTGGTTTGGTCCTTGCCCACGCTCCCTGTTCCAGCTTCTGCCAATGCCAGCCCTGGGAAACAGCAATGATGGCTGCAGTACTTGCATCCTGCACCCACTTGGGAGACCAGGCTAGAGTTCCCAGCCCTGGTGAGTCTGGCCCAGTCTTAGCCTTTGTAGGCTTTTAAGAATGTAAATCAGTGGGTGGGAGCTCTGTACCTGCTTGTGTTCCTGCTCCTCTGCCTTTAGGATAAATCGGATACACAGATGCAGTGTATTAATACAGTGGATGCTCTCCTGGTGATAATTTTAAGATCCTTTTCGCTTTTTTACACTTTTAGTGTAGCGGAGGCATAAGGAAACCTTTATGCAAGCATTTGCCTTTAGGTAGTTACTTTTAGATAATTACCTTCTTGAGGTAGATCTGTTGTTGCCCCACAGCACCCCCAGGTGGTTGGAAGCAGAGTTGTAGAAACTACAGACTTCCTCTGCTCAGCTGGCACACAGAAAGCCAATCATTGACATCAGGGTGGTGGAAGAAAGTAGTCATTTATTGTAAAGCACAGAGCAAGGAGCCGGGCAGCTACTGCTTAATCCCTGGGCTCCCCGAAGGATCAGGAGTGGAGGTCTTACAGAGAGAAGACTGGGCTGACAGATGTGTACATGCAAGGTTCCTGATTGGTCAGCCATGCTGTGATCTTTAGGGTCAGGTGGGCTCCAGCCTGTCTGGGGGTTACGTGAATGGAGTTACGTTTTTACCAGGACTTTCCTCGCTTGAAACTCTGACAACAATACCGGCCATTACTGGTTCTTATCTACTGGAGAGACGAATGACCTGTGCAGTCCAGCGATCAGAAGCCTGTAAGGGCAGCTGGATCATTCCCTGAACTCAGTGAATTCTTTTTGATAAAAGGCAGGCAAGGGCACTTTGTGCTAAGACAGACGTGCAGCGGGCCGCATTCTGCTTTTACCTTATGGGGTTTCATTTCACTGTGAGAAGGATTATTAGGTCAAATCATATTTTATTTATTTATTTTTAAAGATCTAATTTATTTTTATTGGAAAGGAGAGACAGAGAGAAAGATCTTCCATCTGATGATTCACTCCCCAAGTGGCCACAATGGCCAAAGCTGAGCTGATCCAATGCCAGGAGCCCAGAGCCTCCTCTGGGTCTCCCACATAGTGCATGGTCCCAATGCTTTGGGCCTTTCTCGACTGCTTTCCAAGGCCACAAGCAGGGAGCTGGATGGGAAGTGGAGCAGCCGGGACATGAACCAGCACCCATATGGGATCCCAGTGCATGAGAGGTGAGGACTTTAGATACTAGGCTACCGTGCCAGGCCCCAAGTCATATTTTAAATATCAGTATTTGTATCCCAGAACTGTTGCAGCAGTTTGTGTTCATGTCCACAGTGGAAGGAGAACTATCCCTGTGCATCCGTTTGCTTTCTGTTCATCTTTGAATGGCTCCCAATTCAGCCAGGACATGAACTGGTGCCCATATGGGATCCTGGCACGGGCAAGGCAAGGATTTAGCCACCAAGCCATTGTACCAGGCCCTCTCCATTCTGTTTCACTGATGATTGATTATTCTGCCTCCCCAAACACTCCCCCATCTCACCAAGTTCATCCGCCCTTGATAAGCGTGTATTTGAAAGTAATGAATATACAGTCTGCTTGGAAGACAGCGGGTTTCCTACAGCTTAGTGTAAGTCACCCTGCAGGTATGCGGATGGGAAAGCAGCAACAGGTAGAAATTTGGGGAGCCTCCCAAAGATTTCAAGTCTCTAAACATCTATTAAATGATCCTAAAGATCTATTCTTTAATTTTTATTTTAAAAAAGTTTTGAAGACTTTGTTAGAAAGGCAGATTTACAGAGAGAAAGAGAGAGACTTTCCATCCACTGGTTCACTTCCAAAATGGCACAACAGCCAGAGCTGAGCTGATCCAAAGCCAGGAGCCAGGAGCTTCTTTTGGTTCTCCCATGCGGTTGTCATGTCCCAAGGACTTGAGCCATCCTCCATGGCTTTCCCAGGTCATTTTGCAGGGGATTGGATGGCCAGTGGAGCAGCCGGAACATGAACTGGCACCCATATGGGATCCCTGTGCTTACAGGGGGAAGATTAGCCAGTTGAGCCATCACATCAGGTCCCCAACATCCATTTGTTAAAGGCACAGTTTTGTTAGAAAATGACAGTGCAGGACCGGTGTGGTGGCTTGGCGGCTAAAGTCCTTGCCTTGAACGCGCCAGGATCCCATATGGGCGCTGGTTCTAATCCCGGCAGCTCCACTTCCCGTCCAGCTCCCTGCTTGTGGCCTGGGAAAGCAGTTGAGGACAGCCCAAAGCCTTGAGACCCTGCACTCGCATGGGAGACCCTGAAGAGCTTCTAGCTCCTGACTTCGGATTGGCGCAGCACTGGCCTTTGCAGTCATTTGGCGAGTGAACCATGGGATGGAAGATATTTCTCTGTCTCTCCTCCTCTCTGTATATCTGACTTTGCAATTAAAATAAATAAATCTTTTTTAAAAAGAAGAAGAAAAGAAAATGACAGTGCAGATGTTTACTTCAGAAGACCAGGGGTTAGCTTCATTTGCGTGTTTACCGCAAAGGCTGCCTCCTTGCACCCTGCGGGGTAAGATGAGGGACAGGTGTTTGGACTTACGGGGTGGAGTTGAGGAAGAGGAGACAAAACAGCAGTATAGTGAAATGGAAGGTTTGAGCATAAAATTTGTCAAATCCATCCTATTTTCTGCACTTGGATACCAAAATAGCATTGAAGTTGAGTTTTCAATTCAAACTGTTTTTCAGCAGTTAAAAACAGACACTATGTTTTTAAAGAGTTATAACGGACCCCTTTATTCCTAACCGAGAGACAAGGCTACGTAGAGCTAACCTAAGGTGGACAAGTGTGCCCTCTCCTGGCGAAACTCTGTCAGTGCAATTACAGAATACATGGATATTTTACGAAGTTTATGGAAAAATGAAATTAAAAGATGAATTTAGGGGCTGGTGTTGTGTCTTAGTGAGTTAAGCCACCACTTGTGATGCCAGACAACCCATATATCAAACTGTTAGCTGGATCTGCTTCTTGATCCAGCTCTCTCTTGTTGTACCTGGAAGACAGTGGAAAATGGCCCAAGTACTGGAAACCAGGATCTGGTTCTAGGTTCCCAGTTTCAGCCTGGTCTCCATTTGGGGGAGCAAACAAGTGGATGGAAGACCTCTCTGTTTGTCTATGAGGATAAGTTCATTTATTTGTAAAATTGGCAGGGACTGGTGTTACTCAGTTAGTGTATTTCTGGCCTACTCAGTGGGGTAGACGTGGCTACGGGAGGCCCTGGGGCTTGATTCTGCCAGCTGAGCCCTCGGGAGCCCGGAAGCTGGAGGAGTGGATCCTGAAGACGATGTGGGTTTGCAAGTGGAAACTTAGTATTCCATTAAAGAAAAAATATACTTTGACCACTAAATAAAATCTGTCATTTTCTTTCTTTTTTTTTTTTTTAAAAAAAAGCATTTATTTATTTGAAAGCGTTACAAGAAGAGAGGGATAGGCAGAGAGGTTTTTCATCCTCTGTTCCTCCCCAGATGGCTGCAATGGCCAGGCTGAAGCTGGGAGTGTCTTCCGGGTCTCTCACATGGGTGGCAGGGACCCCAAACACTTGGGCCATTTTCTTCTGCCTTTTCTAGGCCGTTAGCAGGGAGCTGGTGGATTGGAAGTGGAGCAGTCAGGACAGGGACCAATGCCTTTACTGGATGCCGGCACTGTATGTGGTGGCTTTACCTGCTATGCATCACTAGCCCCCAGGTCTGTCATTCGCTTAAACCCCATGGTAATCCTTTGAGGGAAGTGTTGGCAGTCCTCTTTGGTAGGCGGGAGTTACTTGAGGGTTAAACGCACTAAGTAACTTGCCCATAAGGGTAACACTTGAATTAAGAATTTCAATACTTGAAATAAGAGTGAGTTGGTGCTAGTTTTTGCCATGGTCGTTGGGGTATGTCAGGTTCAGATCAGACTGCATTGGGCTTAACTGACTAAAACTGAACCAAGCCCTGAGTAGCTGAATTGGAAGTAACTGGTTTCAGATTGATGTCAGAACTGAAATTTTTAAAAGTACATCTAAGGTGTAGTTGTTGGCCCTTACATTGACTGACTATAAAGATATAATACCATGTGATCTGAACTTAATTTTAATTGAATGTAATCAGACATTCTGGTTGATCTTTGAGAGCCAGGAGTTATTTTTGCTTAGTTTGGGTATTAATACATCCTTTATTGGAGGGCCACTAAATGCCAGAAGCTTTGCTGGCTACCTTACCTTAATTGTCTTAATCCTAGAGGCCCAGATTATGTTCTCTGGCCATTGTCTGACTTTGTTTAAGATTTATTTCATTTTTACTGAAAAGGCAGATTTACAGAGAGGAGATACAGAGAGATCTTCCATTCATTGGTTCACTCCCCAAATGGCTTTAATGGCTGGAGCTTAGCTAATCTGAAGCCAGGAGCTTCTTCCAGGTCTCCCACATGGGTGCAGAGTCCCAAGGCTCTGGACCATCATGGGTTTCCCAGGCCACAAGCAGGGAGGTGGATGGGAAGTGGAACAGCCAGGACACCTGCCAGCACCCATGTAGCATCCCGGCGCATTCATGGTGAGGATTTAGCCACAGAGTCATCGCACCAGACCTCATTGTCTGACCTTACAACTACTCTGCATTTTACAGATAGAGAAACTGGCTTGAAAAATTTAAGAAAATTGCTCGAAGTCTCATGCCTAGCTCCAGAGTGGCAGAGCAATTTCTGCCAGGGACTCTATGATGGCAGATGTCTTGCTATCATTCTATTTCTTTATGTCATTGATCACTTTGAAAAGAGACACATGATCCCAGTCTCCGGGCTGCAGCAGCTGGAAGCCTGGGACCCGGGGCCAAATCCAGATGTTCTACGTGAGCGGCAGGGACCAGCTGTGGTCCCACTACCTGCCGTCTCCCAGGGTGTACCTCTGTGGAAAGTGACATGGAGAGTAGAACCAGGGCTCAACCCAGGCACTTACACGCAGAGCGAGGCATCCTAACTCCTGGACTAAACACCCATCGCCCACTCACAGTCCACAGTGATTTTGTCAGTCCTGATCTAGCTGCAGTATTTTTGAGTCCTAGTTACTTCTGTACTTCTCTTGTGTAGAGTAGTGATCTTAACGTTGCCTTTGTAAGGTTATTTTTTTTTATTGGAAAGGCAGATTTACAGAGAGGAGGGGCGAAAAAGAGTTTCCATCCACTGGTTCACTCCCCAAGTGGCCACAATGGCCAGAGCTGAGCTGATGCGAAGCCAGGATTCAGGGTCTCCCGCATGACTCTTCCGGGTCCTGAGGCCTTGGATCATCCTCCACTGCTTTCCCAGAACACATACAGGGAGTTGGATGGGCAGTTGAGTCACTGGTGCCCGTACGGGATCCCAGTGCGTCTGTGGGATGCTCAGCCCGCGGCAGAACAGTGAGCATTAACTTGTTATGACCGTTGCTGGCGTACCGTGTGTGAGCACCAGGGGGTGCTAGAGGCCGCCAGTCAGTTGCGGGATGGCGCCTCGGTCCAAGCAGCAGGGAACTCAAGTGGAGCCCTCGGCGAAGTGTTTCTGAAGACCACCACCTCTGCTTTCAGCCTGGGACCCACCCTGGAACCCGAGGAAGTGGTGAACAAGCTGATGAATGGGATCCTGACGGAGGAGAAGATGATCTTTGTGCCGTCTTCCATACGCCTTCTAACGCTTGTGGAAAGGTAAGCGCGGTGAGACGGCAGCAGAAGTCAGAGCTGATCTGTTCCGTACTTTTCCTCGCATTTAAATTTAAACAGTCAAGTACAACGGTCTCATGTTCCGCTGGTAAAAAAAATTAGGCTTTCATTTGCCAAGTTTTTTTTTTAGATTTGTTTATTTTTATTGGAAAGGCGGATATTCAGGGGTGGGGGAAGGGGACAGAGGAAGATCTTCTAGCCACTGATTCACTGCCCAAGTGGCCACAACAGCCAGAGCTGAGCCGATCTGAAGCCAGGAGCCAAGAACCCCCTCCAGATCTCCCACGCAGATGCAGAGTCCCAAGACTTTAGGCCATTCTTGACTGCTTCCCCAGGCTGTAAGCAGGAAGCTGGATGGGAAACAGGGCCACCAAGACATGAACCAGCACCTGCATGGGATCTCAGCTTGTGCAAGGGCAGGACCCTAGCTACTAGGCTACGGTGCTGGGCCCTCATTGGCCAAGTTTTAAAGCCTCAGGTGTTATCATTATCACAAGATTGATACGGTTATTGGGCAAATGGACTTAATAATTTGCACACAGACCTAAGTCAGTTTTTCTAACATTTATGTCTGGCAGTCTTACAAATGAATGATTGTATAAGGGTAATTGTAGAGTATTTCTGTAGTATGGAGTCCTAGGGCAACGACAGGAAAGCAGGTCATAGCTTTCCGCGTCTTCGTGTAAATCTACAACAGCTTTTTGCGCCAACACATCCTGAAGCACAGGAGTTGCTCACCAGTAATCTTTCTCCCTGGAGAGCCTTGAGCCTTGCCGCTCTCTGGATGGTCCATAGACCAGCAACGCCATTTCATCAGGGCGTTTTTCAGGAGACGAGAGTGCTGACAGCTGCAGCCAGTGCGTGCATTCTCTTAAGATCCCCAGACGCCTTCTAAGCAGATGAACACTTGAGCCACAGCCCTCAGCTTTGGCGCACATTGGACTTTATCTAGGAGCTGATGCCAAGGACCTACCCAACCCCAAGGTGCTGATTTTCTTAGTTTGGGGCATGCCGTGCTCTGTGAGGGAACTGAACTGCTCTCCAGTTGATTCTGACAGGGTGAGAAAACCACAGGTTTATGAAATCTCACTGTAACACACTCTCTTGTGGGAACAGTGTGTGGCAAGGAGGCTGCTCAGGGAATGCGGGGACATAGAGAAGCTGTCAGGGAGAAAGAACCTCATGTTGCCTTGTCTAGATTCAGGCTTCTCCGAGTAGGTGGGGGTCCTGGGATCACTTGGGAAATCTTTGAATATGGATTCCTGGGTCTTCCTTCTGGAGAGTGTTTTAGGCTGTTAATGTTGGGGTACAGAAATCTGCAGTATGTGTATGTGTTTAACTTTACTTTTTGAAAAACAGTTTCCATGCACTGGTTTACTCCCCAAATGCAGCAGCTGCAAAAGCCGAGCCGGCACCAGTAGCCAGGGCCGGAAGCCGGGTCTCCCACATGAGTGGCAGGAATCCAACTACTCAAGCTGTCACCTGCTGCTTCCCAGGGTGCCTGTTAGCAGGAAGATGGAGTCGGAACCAGGACTCTGTCCCAGACACTTCACTATGGGATGTAGGCATCCCAGGCTGTGTCTCAATTTCTGGGTTAAATGTCTACCCCAGAAACTTACATTTTAACAGGACTAAAAAAAAGGACATTGCAAGAGATCAAAAGTGTGACAGGTACAAAACTCTCTGTCCCTTTGTTCTAGAAACAGGGGTAGGGCCCGGCAGGATAGCTCCATGGCTGTCAAGTTTTATTTCCTAAAAGCACCTTTAGTAGACCAGCCGCCGGGCTCTGCACACAAGTTCTTTCTGATCTTTAAGAAAAAAAACCCAAGAATAATCACTTCTCAGGCTTTTAACTAAGCTCTAGTATCCGTTCTTACCAGTTTAATACAGGAATAGATTTAGTTTAATATCACAAGGCTGGTGCTGTGGTTTAGCAAGTAACGCTCCCGCCTGTGTCGTCAGCATCCATACGGTCGCTGCTTCTAGTCCTCAGCTGTTGCATTTCCAATCTAGCTCCCTGCTAATGGCCTGGGAAAAGCAGAGGAAGATGGCTCAATTACCTGGGTCCCTAGCACCCACATGGGAGACCCAGATGTAACTCTTTCCAAGTAAAAATTTATTTAAATACACACACACACACTGTTAAAAAAAAAAAAAACTAATATTGCCAGTCAGTTCTGCTCTTTTAAAAAAGTTATATCTTTCTCTTTTTGAAAACAAAATGAACTCAATGGGAAAGAACATGTGGGAACTCCAAGTTCAAGCCTGAATCTTGTTTGGATAAACATGACCTGCGTGACACATGCAAAATCAAGCATTTAAAATGAGGTATTTTTGCAATTGCACTTAGCATGAATATCCTACTGATTTGGGTGTATCTTTCTTTCAGGATCTTTCCTGAGCGTTTCCTGATGCTCTTAAAACAAAAGGTCAACATTAAGTTTGACGCAGTCATTGGCTATAAAGCGAAGAAGCAATGAGTGTCCTATCTTTCTGAAACCTGATTTGCCAAGTTTAAGTGGATCTCACCTAATGCTAATCATGAGTTTGAATGTTGGAACTTCTGCTTCTTCCTAATTGGTTTCCCTCCCCTCCCCCAGTATCACTTTTTGAAGCCCTGTCTTCAATTTTGTGTCTGCTTTTTGTTGACCTGAAAACTAATTTCCTATATCACAGAAGAGACCAAGCGAGTGGACCTGATGGAAAAAGAAGGGGAAAGGAACAAAAACAATTTCATGACAGTAATTTCCGGGACTTTGTGCTTCATCCAAAGGCTTTGCAACATATGTGTCACAAATGTCTATTTAAGATACGTGCTTATTTTTAATTGTGCTGCAATTGTATGTAATTTACGTATTTCCTTTTCCTGGTCTACATAAAATCAGAAGCTTTAATTTCTTCAAGTACAATGAAGGACTCTTTCTAGTAGCATTTTACAGCGAGTTTCATAAGTTCTTAAACATTTCGTCTTACACATGCCCGCTCTGTCTCCTGAGAGATACCTCACATTTGAATACCAAACATTTCAGCGCAAGGAAACTGGAGCTGGGCAAGTGTGGCAAGATAAGAACCCCAGGGGACTTAAGATGACATTGGGAGAACGTACCCATGAATGGCAACCACAATAAAAGCATCAAACTTAAACTTGTGGTGTTTCATCTTTCAGTCTTGAACAGGACATGGCTAAACTTCAAGGTGGAAATGAATGAAGCAATCAAAGTCTCTTTAGATCCTGGAAATTTTGCATGTGCGGGTTGAGGGTCAGGTTTAGATGGGAAGGTCAGTGACATGGACCTTCGTGATTGAGCCAACAAGCTGAAACTACAAAGGGGTTTGTTGGGCTTCTTCTCCTTGTGTTCTTAACCATTATTTCCTTTCTCCAAAATAGAAACCTTGTAGCTATCCAGTCATTTGGTGCTAAAGATGCTCCAAGGGTCCATTTCCACTCTTTGCTTGGTCTGATTGCCCACTCTTTCTAATCCTCACTGCTAATAAAAAAGGAAGTGAGCGTGGCGGCCACGAGGTAAGGATGGGGAAATGTGCTTTTGAAGACAAGCCGGGTAATGTTCTCCAACGGAAAGGTAGAGGGACTAGTGGGTCATAGCAGACCCACGGCCAGGCCCCAGGGTGCCAGCAGGACCTCAAGGAAGTCTTCATGGTTTGTCCTGGCTTCCCAGTTCCAGTTAGGACATCTGCAGTGCACGTAGGAGAGCAGCGCTCATCCAGGGCTCCACTGAGACTGCCAGACCACGGCAGATGGTGACAGTTGACAACATGGCCTCTTCATTTTGCTCCGGGATATGAACCGATGCCAATATAGGTTCCTGGCACAGGCAAGATGAGGATTAGCCAGTTGGACCATTGCCCCGGCTCTAACTTTTTGTCCCCATGAATATCTGCTACCTCACTGATTGTTCTACAGAAAACAATCAGTAGGAAATCACACACACACACACAGATGTATGGGTAATCTTCATAGATCTCCATTAGGGCGGGAGGTGGCTTGTATCTCAGGGAACTGTGGGGATCGTGAGAAGCTAGCCAGTCGGAGATGCGTAGGGTATGGCATCAGGCTGAGAGCTCAAGGGAGATCTGGTGCTGGAACCTGAGGCAGAACCTCTTATGGAAACCCGTCTGTCCTTCCCAACCTTCCTGCTGACGAGGGCAGGCCCTACAGTAGAAGCTGCTTGAGGGAACAGGTTTTATTTTTATTTTATATACCGCAGTGTCCCTCGTGCTTAGAACAATCTCTGAAACATGCCAAGTGTTTGGTATGATACAAGTCAGTGAGTGACTATTGTGGTTTTCTATCTCCTGAATATCCCCTGCCACTACCCTCCTTCAGTTCAACATCTCTTTTCCCTTTTTCCAAGATTTATTTTATATTTATTAGAAAGAGTTATATAGAGATGAAACACAGAGAAAGGATCTATCTACTTGTTCACTCCATAAATGTCCACAATGGCCAAAGCTGGGCCAGTCCAAAGCCAGGAGTTTCTTTTGGGTCTCCCACGTGGGTGCTGGGGCCCAAGGATTTGAGTGATGCTCTGCTTTGCCAGCTCATAAGCAGGGAGCTGGGTCAGAAGTGGAGCAGCTGAGACGTGAACCAGTGTCCATATGGCATGCTGGTGCCACAGGTGGCGGCTTAGCCTACTATTCCACAATGCTGTTGGAGTAGGGTGTACCTCGTTTCAAGTTTGGATTCCTGGACAGTTCTTCACTGGTCTCCCTCCCTGCAGCATTTCTTAGGTGCAAATCTCATAGTAGGGGGCCCCTTGCTCAAAGCCTGTTGCTTGCCCTCACTGACGCCCAGGCTCTGGCCGCTCATGCCTCTGCTGTTTTCCCTTAACTCCTCCACTCCACAGCCCATTCTCCAAGACAGGGCTTCTTGTGCTTATCACGCCCTGCCGCCCCACAGGGCCAACATATTCACTTTTCTAGAACTTAGTTCCACTATCTGCCTTGCGCCTCCTCATCCCTGAGGTCTTTGTTTCTAGTTCACCTCCACCCCATCTCCAGGGGTAGGGGACTTGCCCTTCATGCCATCTCCCTGTTGTTCCTTCAATTTATCCCTGCCCTTGTGCTTTGCACCAGATGGACAGGAAAGGACGAAGGGATTTCAATCCTCCCCTGGAACTGGGTACCCAAAAAAAAACACAGGAGAAACAGTACACTGTGGAAGACAGGATGGTTCCATCGGCTATTATTACAAAAGGAGAAATCTGAAAATATTCTATGGCAAAAAAAAAAAAAAAGATTCTTTAGGCAGGAGAAGATTGGAATTCTCAGAGAAAGAATTAGGAGAATAAGGAAAGGAGGACCAAGAATCAGACCAGAGATGAAGATGTTTTCTTTGTTACTACACGGAAAGAAGGATGAATAGGACAAAGTTAGGGGTTTACAGACCAAAAGTACGCTGAGATGCTCCAGGAAATGTGTTTGGAGTTTGTGTGTTTGGCTTAAATTTTGTTTTTCTGTTTGTAATTATTTGAGAGGAAGAGAGAGAAAGGGACACACACACACACACACACACACATTAGTTCCCATCCAATGGTTCACTCCCCAAATACCCACACTAGCTGGAATGTTCTGGTACCAAAACGGTGAGCCAGAAATCCAATCTACTCTCCACTTTTGTCTGCCATGGTCTTGTTAGCAGAGCTGGGAGTCCCAGCTTAGCACTGGGATGTGGGAGATGCCATCCTAAAAAGTGCAAAGGCCATCCACCTGCCCTGCGGATAAGCATTTTGGAGCCCTGGGGAGAGGTTTGTAGATTCCCTAAAATAGTTAATATTGCTTTAGCTGCTTGAGCGGACACAGAAGCTGTGGTTGTGAACTTATGAACCCCATGAGGAGGGAGGAGTGCAGTGCTAAGCTGAAAAGATTATATTTCCAAACTTCCACCTGGCAAGCGACTGTGGTTGCGCCATACCAGCAGTGGATCAGACATGTGTGGAAATCCCATTACTTTCTCATCTTAGGACCACCAAAGAAATGAGCTGATTGCCGCTTATCCTGTTTTCATCATCAGTATAGTTCCTGCCTACAGTAAATTCTAGTATCGTATTAATTTTGGGGCTGTAAGTTGTGCAAATGACCCTCAAAAGATTGACTACTCAGAAGGTAAAATCTACTTTGCCAGTGTCCTTTCACACATTCTGTCTTTCCTGCACTTTTCTTTGCTGTGTAAATAATGGGCTTTACGTGAGTAACATTGTTACCCTATGTTCCTGGTTACTCTGTTTCATTGGTTTCCTGGTTACAGTTATCTGTACTCAGTTCCAACCCTTACTCTTTAACTGTGAGGATCATTCCAATTCTGTAACTGACAATCAGATGGCTCTTAAGAGAGATATTAATGAAAGCAAAAAGCAGACCAAGTTCAGAAAAATAGTTCAACAATATTATAAATGACAAGGATTGTTTTAAATTTGTTTGAAAAAAAGCTGCTGCTAGACCCAATGTAGCAGCCCAATGGCTAAATCCTTGATTGTAAGTGCCAGGATCCGATATGCGCGCTGATTCTAATCCTGGCGGTTCCACTTCCCATCCAGCTCCCTGCTTGTGACCTGGGAAAACAGTCAAGGATGGCCCAAAGGCTTGGCACCCTGCACCCACATGGGAGACCCAACAGAAGCTCCTGGCTCCTGGCTTCAGATCAGGTCAGCTTGGCTTTTGACAGTCATTTGGGTAGAGAATCAGTGACAGAGGAGCTTTCTCTCTGTCCTTCTTTCTGTATAGCTATATACAGAAAGCTGTATACCTTTCCAATAAAAAATAATAAATCCCTCTTTTATTTCTAAGAAAAACCTACTTTTCAGAAGCTTCTCAGTGGCATTTGAACCCAGGTGGCATTAGTCCTCTGATCTGGGCCCACTGCTGCATATTGAATATGGTGAAGTTACAGTAATTGAACCTGAAAAGGCATTACTGTGTTACAGCTTGAGGTCTGATCTAAACTGCTTGTCCGACAGTTCAATATAAGTGTTTTTGCAAGCTACTTTAAGGACCCTTCGAGAAAGAATCAGTTAGTGTCTCTCTCTCTCAATGCAGGCAAGTTTCAGACCGAAGGAAGTTGTTCTGTTCTTGCCAATGCCCTCTGATATAACCCAGGTCAGCAACCCTCAGCTTCATCACTGGTGCCATGTTGGATTGGAGGGTTCTTTACTCGATGCCCGAGGGCTGTTCCCTGCCTAGCAGCAACCTGGCCTCTTCACTGCCGGTGCCATGCCTGAAAGGCGGCAGCCGAAAAGATCTCCAACTCTAGCTGAGAACCCCTGGTCTAAGTTAGAAGTTAGGGTTCCAGAATCAGATCTAACTGAATTTAAATTCCCCTCAAAGGCAATTTGCTGGCTTTACTAACATGAGAATTTCCCCTAAACTGGAGCTTTTCAGCCATCACATGTGAGGTGATTGGCAAGTGAGACGGCTGTTGAGCTTTCATGAATACAGGAATCAAACATCTGAGCTTGACTGAGCCATACTTGAGATTTCTTTTAAAGATTTACTTATTTTTTATTGAAAAATCAGATATATAGAGAGAGCAGGAGAGACAGAGAAGAAGATTTTCCAAGTGGTCACAACAACCAGAGCTGTGCCAATCTGAAGCCAGGAGCCAGGAGCTTCTTTTGGGTCTTCCATGCGGGTACAGGGTCCCAAGCCTTTGGGCCATCCTCAACTCTTTCCCCAGGCTACAAGCAGGAAGCTGGACAAGAAGCAGGGCTGCTAGGATTAGAACCGGCGGCCATATGGGATCCCATGCATGCAAGGCGAGGATTTTAGCCACTAGGCTACTGCAGCAGGCCATCCTTTCTTAAAGTTTATTTCTGTTTGTTTGTTTCAGAGAAATGTATGTGCAGGCTGTTAACTGATGCCAAATGTGTGGCATTATTTCTTGAGGTGAAGCTTCATGCTGAAACAGTATCCAGCTGCTTCTCCGATAAGGAAGTCCAGAGGGCATGTTCTCCCTGATTTCCAGGCCTTGTGCCAAGCTGTGCTAGCACTTGGCGTTACTGCAAAACCCCAAGATGTGTCAGTCCTGTTACAACATGTGAACAGAGCCTGCTTTATCTGACAGTCCCTCCAGCACCTGCTTACACAGCTCATCTCTGGAGCTGCAGCAGGTGCGACTGCACGAGGACTGAGCCAGACGAGAGGGAAGACAGAGCCATGAACCTCATCTTGGACATCCTCCTGCTTCTGGTCACCATCATCTTTTCCTACTTGGAGTCATTGGTGCTGTTTTTCATCCCACAAAAAAGGAAATCCGTGGCTGGGGAGGTCGTTCTCATTACTGGAGCAGGCCATGGAATAGGCAGGCTGACCGCCTACGAATTTGCAAAGAGGAAAAGCAGACTGATTCTATGGGATATTAATAAGGTAATAGATACACCAATTTTTAAAGTCAAGGTGTAACTTGCGCTTTAAACATTATCTGACTTGGCTTCTGCTTATCCCTGTATTTTCCTTTTACAAAATTTGGTGGATTACCTTTGTCCGACATTTGCATCAAGGTGATTTGGTGAAAAGTAATTGCATGCTAGCAGAGACGTGTATGCTGTGGTCTATAGGTTGATGAAGATACAGGAGCTGGTTTCCTTTTGAACTCCTTGGATTGGGCAAGTCACATATTTGTCTCAGCTTAAATTTAAGATTTATTTGCTTGAAAGACACAGGGAGAGAAAGAGAGAAAGCCAGAGGTCTTTCGCCTACTGGTTCATTCTCCAGATGGCTTCAACAGCTGGAGCCAGGTATGGTCAAATTAGAGCTACAAAATCAGTCTGGAACTGCTATACAGATGGTAAGGACCCAACTACCCCAGCCGTCACTGCTGCACTCCAGGTGCACGTTAGCAGGAAGATGGACTGTAAATGGGACTGGGAGTCCAGCCTGGGTCCTCTAAAATGGAAGGGTGGTATCCCACGCACGGCTTAACTGCTAAGCCAAGCACACAGTGATGGCTTAAGTAGATGGATCCTGCCACTCTGGGTCCCTTGAATTTGGGGAGCAAATAAAGGAAATAATAGTTAGAGCAATTTTATATTAGTAAAGAGGCTTTCAACTAGATGTCAGTTGCTTTTTCCCGGTCCTACAGTTGTGGGTAAGGTTGGAACAGGAGAGAATCCATTCAGTAAAGACATCTTTGCTGCAGACACATGAAGAGTGAACCATTACATTCTCTGGAGTTTTACTTTCTCATTGCACTTAATCCTCTACGAAACCACAAAGAATACCATCTTCCAAGAACTTTCTTCAGCTTACACTGTAATGAAACTGCATAGTGGAGAACCTCAAACCAAGATGAAAAGCTGGTGTATGAGGACATTTTTGTTGTTATTTTGCCTTGTTGTTAGCACAGGGACACCCCAAAAAGTTTGTGGGAAATACAATTAAAAGACAAGTTTACCTTGGTGCAAAAATGTTTGAAATCCATACACTTGAAATGTCTTCCAAAAACTCAAAGAAATATTTTGTGAGCAAAACTGCATCAATCTCAGATTGTATTTTGTACTGAAGTAATTACATTTAACCTTTAACTTCATTTTCCACAGACTTTCTTGAAGTAGTTTCTGTGACCAAGGATGTAGGTTTTAGGTGAAAAGGGGTTTCCTTGGAGCAACCACAGAAGTTCTATAACTTTTTCTTAAGATTTGTTTTATTTAACTTGGAAGTCAGAGCTATAAAGTGAGAGGCAAGAGACAGACCCTGGAACTGAGTTGATCCAAAGCCAGGAATCAGGAGCTGCTGCTGCTTCTCCTTTTTACATGTTTGGTGATGTTTACACAGTTGACCAGGGTGGGAAGGGTCAAGGACTAAGGGAGTGTGGGTGAGACCTTTGTTTCCAAATCTTCACCTTCTTCTTCCTCTATCTGGGGAAAGGGGGAAATGAGGGGAGACGCTGCACACAGCCTCCCTGTCGTCCCAGAACCCGGGGATGGGGAATGGCCAATCGATGCCATCCCAGGGTCCCCAGTGTGAGGCATGCTCCGAAGGTTCCACTTGAGCGCTTTTGATAGTTCTGAAATGCGGTCGATCTCACCAATCCAAGGAAGAGGATATCCTTCCAAGGCCCACCTGCTGACACAGTCTACCCCAGAGTCTCCATTCGCCCAGCTGTTTGCTGTCAACACTTGGCTGGGGCAGTTGAACAATTTCCTCTGCTCTCCTTCCTCTGTTATGATACCAGATGTCTTCTGCAGACCCCAATAGACTGCCATATCCTCCATGTGCATGTAAGCATGCCATCCAGAAACTTCTTCTGGTCTTTCGCATGTCCATTCTCCTCGGATCATCATCCACTGCTTTCTTAGCCCATAATCTGGGAGCTTAATCTGCAAGTGGAGTGACCAGGACTGGAACCAGTGCCCATATGTGATTCCAGCACCTCAGTGGAGAGTGGTGTGCAACAACACCATGCTGGTGGAGGGGTGGGGATGGACTATAACAGTTTCTGAGTGCATGATCTCTTGAGTTTGTTTTGTTATAGAAAAGCTTACCTAGCAACACAATGCTCAGAGGAAGCCCAGATTACCACAAGCCAACTGGCAAAGGTTACAAGAAACCCATGAGATGTATATTGCAAGCACGAAAGCTCTTATGCTCCATTTTCTATATCCCAGGTGTTAGCTTTTATTGCCACAAGCCCAAAAGCCAAACACATGAAATTACGCTGAAGGTCTTTATTTCAGCAAGGGAGGTGGCTGTGGAGAGAAAAGGGAGCAGACAGAAGGTGGGAGAGAGAGAGAGAGAGAGAGAGAGAGAGAGATAACTCCCCAGTGGGAGAGAGCCTGGAACAACCTCCACCTAGCAGGGTGCCCCATTGGAGGGAAATGGCCACCAGGGTACACAGCACTGGGCTTTACTACACCGAAGGCGTGGGAGATGGGAGAAGGCAGCAGCTCCTCACTTTGTGCCTGCTTGTGACTGTGAAGTGTCATCAAGGTGGGTATTGGTCTTCTGTGCAGACTTGGCCTTTGAAACATTCCTGAATGGGAGTATCTGCCTGAGCTTGGCAAAGACAGCATTGAGGCGAGTGAAGCTTTCTTCTGCGGTTCGTGGCTAAAGGGAGGCAGGGAGAGAGCACCGGGACTCGGTCTGCTGCGTGGTGTTCCAAGGTTGCCAGGTGTTTCTGTCTTGTGATAAACTCTCTTGTCCTCTGATGCACCCAGCTCCTTCAGGAGTGGCTTCTGCTTGGCCCAACACCAGGTGCTGTCTTAATGCTTACTGTAAAATTTACTCGCAAATTCCTTCTCAAAGAGACTATTTCTTTTCAGGGACTCATTCTACTATTTTTTTCAAACTAAGAGTAAACCAAACTTTTCACCGCACAAGCTCCTCTTGAAGCTGATTGTTTAACAACGCCCCAAGAGAAGGGACCCTTTGTGAGCATTCTGGAGCAAAAAAATTCATGCATGGTCTTGTTGCAGATTGGACAAGTAGTCTATCTGAAAAAATTTGCTTAAAAAAATCAAGAGGCATTTTGGAAATGAACTTTATTTTAAATTATTTCAAGTGTATTTATTGTTTAAGATTTACTTATTTATTTGAAAGGCAGTTATAGAAAGAGGCGGAGAGAGAGACAGAAATTTTCCACCTGCTGGATAACTTTCTAGATGGCAGCATAGGCTAGGACTGGGCCATCCAAAAGTAGGAGTCTGGAACTCCATCCAGGTGTGCCATGTTCTTACAGGGGCCAGTTTCTGCTACTTTCCCAGACACATTAGCAGGGAGCTGGATCAGAAACAGAGCAGTTGGGACTTGAATCAACACTCTTCTATAGGATACCAGGATCACGGGCAGTGGCTGGACAACACTGGCCCCTGGATATAAGTTTTAACCTTTCAGGAAATTTTAAAAAGCTTTCTGTTCCAATTTTGCTGAATTTGATTTTTTTGATTGTTTGTCTCCAATTATAGCATGGTGTCGAGGCAACTGCAGCTGAATGCCGAAAGCTAGGAGTCACTGTGCATGCTTCCGTGGTGGACTGCAGTAACAGAGAAGAAATTTACAGTTCCATAAGCCAGGTAGAGCTGCACATCCGGAATCTCTGCTGATCCGCTGCCACTGACATGGAAATGCACAAATTCTCCAGGACTGCCTGAGCAATATCAGAATGTAACTGCTTCTAAATGTAGTTATGTGACCAAGGAAGGAAACAGACTTTTTCTCCTTGCACATCATCCACTCAGCTCTGCCTGTCACTAACATCTCCTATAATCTGCACACTTCATTCTGGCTAGAATGTTGAGCAGTGGCTCAGTGTGACCAACAAAGGACTTATTAGCAAGGATAATGGGACACTCCCCAGTTTCACTTTGAACCTATGGCTTTTGCAGTAATTCCTTTCTTTTTTCACTTAATCACTTCCTTTGTGAAATTGTATTTATTGTGACACCACCCTAACCTTCTTTGGGGAATGCTAATAACATTGTTATAACAATGTTTTACAAGTAAATACTAACTACAATGATCCAAACAAGTCCTCATAGTCCTTAATCCCTACAGAAACCGTATTAATCTCATTTTACAGATGATGCAATTTAAGGAAGGCTGAGATGTTGAGCTACACAAAGTTCATTACAGCTAGTACATAGCAGAACCACAATTACTCAATGAGCACTTACATACATACGGTCAGAATTTTTTGTATCAGTTTGTCAACAGAAGTATTCACTTTGTTTGATTGTTACAGCTTCAAAATCCATGGTGTACTAGGTACTGAAATGTAGATGTTAATTAAAAAAAAAAAAAAAGAGGAAAAGCTGTGTTGACAGTTTTCACTTGGCAATCACTGTTGGAGTTAGAAGCTCTTTCCTGCCTGACCCCTCAGAGACCTTATCCAGTAGGGAAAGGAATCTAATCCCTGGCTAAGAGCAGACTCCAAATATTCAGTTTGTGAGACACACCCAATCAACATGTTCTTTGCATTTTAAAAGGTGAAGAAAGAAGTGGGTGAAATCACCATCGTGGTGAATAATGCTGGGGCGATATATCCAGCTGATCTGCTTAGTGCCAAGGATGAAGAGATTCTCAAAACCTTCGAAGTCAACATCCTAGGACACTTTTGGGTGAGTGTGAATCACACATAGTTTTGATTCGTTCAAGCCTAATACTTCTTTAGGAACATGAAGTACACAATTGAACTTACATGTTACTGGGTGGGAAACCGGCCAGAAGTTGGCCTTGAATCAAGAACCATCAAGTTTGAGCAGAAGAACCGCAGCCTCCGGCACTCTGGTGAGTGCCAGGTGGGCAACAAGTACTCACAAGAGGCTTATTAAGGGTTGTGTCCTTTCAAAGCTTTGGCGGAAACACTTATGATGTACATTCACTGGGAACCCCACTCCATGCTGTTTTAAAATGCAAAAGACAAGCACAAAACAACTCATGTATGTGTGGGGTCGAGGAAATTTCTGGATGAAACCATGAGACAAGTACCAGCTGCTGGAACTTAGAAAGGGCTATATGGCCCACTCATAATTGATTTCAAAAGCCTTTTACAGAGCATTTTTTTTAAAAAGCAGTTATTTGAAAGGCACAGTTATGGAGAGGAAGAGATAAAGAAACCTTTGTCTACTTTAAAAGAGTTACAGAGAGAAAAGGAGAGACATAGAAGAAAAATAAGCTTTCATTCGGTGGTTCACTCCCCAAATTACCACCACATCCCAGGCTGAGTCAGCCAAATCCAGATGCCTGGACCTCCACCCATGTCTCCCACATGTGCACAGAGACCCAACCACTTGGACCATCCTCTGCTGCTTTCCTAAGTGCATTAGCAGGGAGTTGGATGAGAAGTGGAGTCACTATGACTTGAACCAGTACTCATACAGGATGTCAGCATCAACAAACTGAGCCACAATACCAGTCCCTTACAGAGTATTTATCTGAATTAATCTCACGTGCCTCAATGTTAGCATAGAATTTAGAGTACATCTGGATTCTAGAAAAAGGGAGAAAAAAAGAAACAAGTCCCACTATCTTTGCTAGCTCTTCGCCGGGAAATGTGAACAGGAGGCTCCACATACTCAGTTTCGGTATCACTTAGTGGCTGAAAACAGCACCAAGTGCTTGTCATCCTTGCTTCGGCTCTGTGAGTCAGGACTTTGTAGATGGCCTGTGTTGGCCACTCTGGGCCTATCATTTTGTTCTGGGTCCATAACATCTCATAAAGTAGGATTAGTATATCTCACAAAATAGGGGATCCTTTCAGCTTTTAAAACTAACTTTCTCCCTCAGTAATATTATTTATAGGACATATTCAAAAAGGAAAGAAAGGGGAGTACTAAGAGAGGCTCTTGGCATGTGATCTCCATTGCACGGAGCACGGAGTCCCGCACGGTGTCCCCCTGAAACCAAATTTCTATTTTTCTCATTCCCTTCCTCTGTACGGAACTAGTCAGGGGATGCTGTAAATATTTTGTTTCATTGTAAAAAGTTCTCTCATACTGCATTCTGTCTTAACAAAGGTAGATCAGCTTCATGTGGGACTCTAATAACTGTGGCTTTCTGCCATGATCTTTCAGATCACAAAAGCACTTCTTCCATCAATGATGAAGCGAAACCATGGCCACATTGTCACCGTGGCCTCAGTGTGTGGCCACGGAGTGATCCCTTATCTCATTCCTTACTGGTAAGCGCTGCCAGCCACACTGTGCATTTTTGTATTTCTATGGGATTGTTAGACTTCAGAATCCAAAAGAACAGAGTAATTTGGATATAGACGATAGTAGTTGGAATATATTTTCAAAAAACGACTTCCCCTAAAGTAATGATATGGATTGCAATTGCAAGTAGTTTTTAGCTTTCTGGAAACACCTCTGAACAATGAAAGAAGACAGTCATGTCAAGCATTGCTTGCACTGTGTCCTGGAAGGAGGAGATATTGACAAAATCAACAGGAAGTGCATGGATTAAGAAGCAAAACACAGAGACATTAAAAAGAACACACATCTACACCATGGCCCAGGTGATCAATACAAGCCAATCGGAGAGGCCCCATGATTGGAGACTACGTCATGAAAGTTTCTGCGTGTGTGAGAGAGAGACAGAGAGATGGGGTTGGGAAGTCTCTATATGGTTAAAAGATGCAGATACTATACTCCATGCTCTACCAAAAAGGTAAAGGGACATTGATGAGAGGTCTTCAAGAATATATTATTTCCAAAACATTCTTTCCTGGGAAACTATTTAATGATATCTCATTTCCTCATATCTGCCTTATATCAACCTCAAAGCAAAAATTAAACTGCTAACACTTGAGTAAATTTATTGGTTTATTATTGATTTTTATTTACAATCAAGGTTAAGTTTGATAACGGGAAAATTATTTTGGGTGTTGAATGTGCTACAGGTTAAATCTTACAGAGAGTCAGGGTCCATAATACCTGCTTTTAATTGTCTCAAGTTGCTTCTGTCATCCTAAAACACACAGAGGAATTCCACAGATGAATCATTTGGCATTGTTCTAACGTTCAGAAATGTGGAAAACATGCTATATAATAGTTCTTTTTCCCCCTCTTCTCCTTTAAGGACAATTGAGCTAACTTTATTGTTCTTATCATTACTTGGGTCAAAAATACTTAGGGTTTCTGTGCATATGCTGTCTTATTTAATCCACATGCTAACCCTATATTTTATTATTTGTATTCTAAGGATCAGAAAAATAAAAAGACACATCTAGTCGCATCCCTCTTCACACTGTCCTTACCCAGATCCTTACAATGAAATTTAGACACCAAAGGGGTCACCAGTATGAGAACAGAAACTATTGACTCATAACAAAAGAGGGAAATACTAGTTTTGTAGTATTTGTAAATTTGTTTTTCCTTATTTCTAGTTTTATTTATTTTTAGACAAAATTTTTTTTTGTAAACATTTACTTATTTTTATCAGAAAGATTTACAGAGAGAAGGAGAGACAGAGAAAGATCTACCATTGTATGCTGGTTCACTCCCCCAAATGGCCAAAACTGAGCCAATCCAAAACCAGAAGCCAGAGGCCTCTTCCAGGTCTCCCGTGTGGGTACAGGGTCTCAAAGCTCTGGAGTGTCCTTTACTGCTTTCCCAGGCCACAAGCAGGGAGCTGGATGGGAAGTGGAACAGCTGGGATAAGAACTGGCGCCCATATGGGATCCTGGCATGTGCAAGGCAAGGATTTAGTCATCGTGCCAGATCCTATTCCTACTTTAAAAAATAAAAACTGGTTAGAAAATAGTTTGAAGGTTGAAAGTACAATCTTATGTGTGAGATAAGGGGGTCTTAAATCAGTCAATAAAGGCATTATTTGTTCTTTTGTTATCATTGCTGAAAGTTTGTACGTTTAGACTTCAGTCATTGAAAATGAATGACCATTTATCCATGTGGGGAAACCACCAGTGTGGGGTGATTATCTGGCACAAGGCGCAAAGGCTGTTTAGGATGACTGCATTCTGTTTTGGAGTTCTGGGTTCGAGTCCTGAGTCTACTTTTGAATCCAACTTCCTGACTCAAGGACATGGGTCCCTGCTGCCCACCTGAGAGACCTAGACTGAGTGCCAGGCTCCCGGCTGTGAGCTCGCCCCACTGTCACTGCTGCAGGTGTCAGGGAGTCATTCTGCACATGGAGATTCTCTTTCTCATTCTTCCACTTTCTCTCTCTCTTCCTTTCAAATACAGAAAACATTTTAAAAAGAGAGCATGCAAGCGATGTTTGGGGGGGCTACTACTTGTTTTCAAGCCAAATGATAGAGCCCTCCCTCAGAAGGGTAAGGCCTGTGTTTTTCACTATTTCTTAGCCAGGAATGCCTGATTGTCCTCTTACAGTTCCAGCAAATTCGCAGCTGTTGGCTTTCACAGAGCTCTGACGTCAGAACTGGAAGCCTTGGGAAAAACTGGCATCAAAACCTCCTGTCTCTGCCCAGTTTTTGTGAATACTGGGTTCACCAAAAACCCCAGCACCAGGTGAGCTCAAAATCAAGTTAGGATGCAAAGGTGATACAAGAAAGCGATGGGGAACAGTTCTGATATAGGTTAGCACGTGGGAGCAGCCTCCTCTCCCTATACACAGGAGAAACAGGAAGAAAAGGAAACTTGGAAGCCTCTGTCCCACCCACCTTCCCCCATAACTCCACCCTCCTCCGTGGTCCTCATGAGTATTGCATCCTTGTCAACTATGTAAATAGCATTAAAGTTTTTAAAAAATGTTTGAAAAGAAAGTGATGGGGAAACCATGTAAAAAATTAGAGGTAGGACAACTGATAGAATTGAGAAAAGGGAAAACGAAAAAAAAGCCATTTGTTCTTGTTCTTCGTGTATAGGCTTTATGTTGTCACTTGGCACCTGAATGAAAGGGGGAAAGACATTAGAGACTAACAAGAGCAATCTGCAACCAAGGAGCTGGGCTACTGGCTATTTATTTATCCTGAGACAGGGGCCCTGCACACTCGCGTGCATAGAGTGAGTGGGCATGGGATGGGGTGGGCTGGAGAGGTACATGCGGGTAAAGCCTACAGTTTATGCTGAAAGCCACACCTCCTTGACCAACGAAGTCTAACAACCTTCCCTCTCACTAGGATTATAGAGAGGTGTGGGCAATTGCCCCTCTCATGGCTTCCACAGCACCTGTCACAGTGCTAACATAGTGTTCTAGCATTTTCCCCCTAATTCTTGGAATCCTACTTAGGCTGCCATAAATGTTCATAAGTTCTTCCTCAGAGATTCCAGCTCAGTCAGATGGGATGAGTTCCCAGAGTGAGACGTTTGATTACCTTGTGCAAATGTACCATACCAGGTGAATCTGAAGGCAGGTTTGAGAAACATGAATGTGTTAAGTATAACCACAAGCCTTTAATCCTTGGTACCACCCTGTCATTAAAACCTTAATGTTCCTACAAGTAGCAGCATATGGAATCCTTAGCTCCTTTGTCAGGTGAATTTCTACAAGAGTGGACTTGACCGAAGGAAGAGCAGAAACGTGGTGACAAGGGCCCTAAAATTCAGCAGTCTACTCATGAATATGCTTCCATTCTAGCATAAGCCATTCCGCAGGTTCCAAGATGCCTTAAGCTTGCCAGTCAGAAGCCAATTTATAACTAGAAGGGAATCAGTCTAAAGTACATATGTGTTCAAAAGAATTAATAAATTCTCTTTTTAGCTCAGCCACCTTGAGGCTATTGACTTAAATTCTTTTCAGCTGTGATGTCCCTGCAGCTGTGGTCAAGCACCACCCCTTAGTCATGCTGGACCACAGGGACTTGAGCTGGTGGTATGTAAGTGAACGCTCTGGTACCATTGCAATGCCTTGATCTTGCGATAGGAAATTGATCACCTCCCCAATTCCTGCAATCCTCTGGGTAAGATGCAGGTTTAGTGTATAAAGAGCTTTGCCAAGAGGGCCTTGCCCCTGCTGGGCACGTCAGAATAGATGAAGGTAAGGATAATATGACAGGGGTAGGGTGCATGCCTGAAGGCTCCTTATATCCAAATGGTATCAAAGAGCTGGACATTTCCTTTCTATCCCCTGATTAATCCTATCCACACTTCTTTCTTGCCTGGTCTCTCCCCTCCTTGGCATCTAGTGCATCTCCACCTTTATAGTAAGTGGACCTAAGAAACATACCTCCTGGATGTGAAAGTATTATTAAAACATCCAATAGGTTATGGAGAAAGAGAGCATTTGTGCAGTGAATTGTGCAACATTTTAAACACAAATCCTTATTTATTTATTTGAAAAGCAGAGACCATCAAAAACCAATCTTCCACTGATTCACAGTGCAAAGCCACACAACAGCTAGGACTGGGCCAGGCTGAAGCCAGGAAACCAGGACTCAGTCTGGCTCTTGAAAAGGGGGGCAGGGACCCAAGAACTTTAGCAATCACCTAAATCTAGGGTGGGTAGTAGCAGTTGAAACTTGAGCTGTAGCATGTTGATATGGGATGGGTATGTGCCAAACAGCCCATTCCTAAACCTTAGCTCAAAATTTGGTGGAAGGATGACTTAATTCTCCTACTTTTATTAATTAGGATTTGTGATCAATTTTAAAATAAATCCTTTTCCTTTTAATCACAGATTATGGCCTGTTTTGGAGACAGACAGAGTTGCAAAAAGCCTGATTGATGGAATACTTACCAATAAAAAAATGATTTTTGTCCCGTCATACATCAATATCTCACTAATACTGGAGAAGTAAGTACAGCACTGGATACTTAAAATACTGGAATACCTGCAAATCTGTTTTTATATGGAGACATTCACTGTGAAAGTTGCCATGGAAACTCCACCTCTGGAAAGAAAAGTTACATTTTCTCTCTTACTGACTTAATCTATTTTTTTTAAAAAAAATACTCATTTTTTCTAGTACATCTACCATCTTTGTCAAATATGCTCGAGATCATTTAACCAAAGGAAAGACCATTAAAAGAACATAATGAAGTGCTTTTATCCTTACTGCATGGAGGTAGCTGAATAGCCCACATAAGCTCTCTTCTGAGCCTTCTTCTGCCAGCCCAGCTCTCCCCTGTCCCTCACACATGCCCCGTTTCCCAACACCCCATCCCAAGAAACAGAAGAAAATATTGTTCTAATCTACAACACCAAGTGATTTTCCATGATTTTCTTTGCAGAACATGTTGCTTCTGCCTCCTAATGTTCCCTCTCACTTTTTTCATCATTCTGCTCAGATCTTACCCATCACTGAACCTCCTTGCCATTTTGTAGCTTTCCTTCTCTGGGTTGAACAATAAGCTCCTCAAATGTAGTAGCTAGTTTTTTTTTTAGTATCATACTAGATTGTCAGTAAATACTAGAAGTGAGGTGAAGCGATAGATGGAGTGGGTGCTCATGGCGTCGCTGTGTGAGCTCTTAGCATTTCTTAGCTTGACAACTTCAGCACTGAACTCAGACTTTCAGCTTTAGAAGAGTTAATGTATGGTTTTACTAATATAGGATGCAGAGGTATGGGTGCTATATGTGTTATATAACAGCGTTTTCCTTATGTTTGCATTTACTTTCAACTGTATTAAAAAAACATACACAAGAGAGGAGTGGCATTTGGCCATGCGATTCAGATATCCATGTAGGCATCAGGGTACCTGAGATTGATTCGCAGCTTCTGCTCCAGACTCCACTTGGAGGCCAATGCATTGGACAACACTGGGAAGCAGCAGCGAAAGCTGAAACAGTTGGGTCCTTGCCGCCCACGTGGGAGGCCAGAATGATAGAGTTTCTGCTTAAGTCCCAGCCCAATTGTAGTCTCTGTGGAAATTTAGGGAATAAATAAATGCATGAAACCTATCGTCTACCTGTTTTCTATCTGCATTTTAAGCGTAAATTTTTCGAAGAAAGATATGAAAAAAAGACAGTGCCTGGAAACAGACAAAAGAAGAAGGGAGGAAAATTAAATGCAAGCCAGATAGCTGGCAGGCATTTTAATGACAACAAAAAGAAATCCTGGGTCAAGGATTTTAAATGGAGAAGTATTCATCTCTTTTCTCATGCAGGTTTCTCCCTGAACGTGCCTTGGCAGCCATAAGTCGTGTGCAGAACATTCAGTTTGAAGCAGTGGTTGGCCACAAAACCAAAGTGAAATGAGGTTTGCCAGAGCTGAACACGCATTCATGATCTGAATCTGATGCTTTAGTTCACACTTTCTCAGTGCTGTCAATGCTTAAATACAGGCATTGGCATTAGTGCAGTCAAATGAACAAGACTAAATGCCTGTATTTTCAAAATGAAAACCTATAAGAAATAAACTTTTATTGTTTACATTTAAGTATTGACTGTGGTATTTTATTGTGGCGGCAGAAATGGACTAAGTATACGAGTTGGTCAAGTGGAAAGGTAACAAATGTGCTTTTGTGTTTATTGTTGCAAACTCAAAGAATGCTTTATAAATAAATTGCCAGATACAGAAATGCTAGGCCAAATAATAAGAGCATTAATATTGTGGACAGGGCCCGGCATGATGACTCACTGGCTAAATCCTCACCTTGCATGCACCAGGATCTTATATGGGTGCTGGTTCATGTCCTGGCTGTGGTGCTCAGGGGTGAAAGGGTCACTAAGTCAACAAGATGGCGACTAACAGTCAAGTTCACTGAGTTACACGTGGTGAGCAAGATGGCGGCCAAGGACAGAGCCCTGGGCGTGAACCAGGGCAGTGGTCACGTTGTTTCAAAGAGACTGATTGGCCACGGCCATTAAGCTCATCTACCCTTGGCCTATGGCAAGTATCTTCCACAGTCATGCTCCTAGTAATCGGCTCCTAGTTTCTCCCCTCCTGGAATTCCTGAAATTCCTGGCCTGAGGCTACCCCTTACCCTATAAAAGCATCTGTACTTTCCAAATAAATCTGAACTACTGGACAGAACCCCTGCCTGTCTGTCGCGCACTGGGAGGCTGGGTGGTGGGCAGCAGGCTCACTCCCTCCAGCAACGGGGTACTAGAGGAATCTGTAGGGGAGACCCCACACCAGATGCTCTATTTCTCATCCCACTCCCCACTTGCAGCTTGGGAAAGCAGTGGAAAATGACCCAAAGTTTTAGGATCCTGCACCCATGTGGGAGAGCTGGAAGAAACTCCCGGCTCCTGGTTTCAAATCAGCATAGCTTCGACCGTTGTGAGCATTTAGGAAGCAGATGGAAGATCTTTCTATCTCTCTCTAGCCTTCTCTCTGTAAACCTGCCTTTTCACTAAAAATAAATCCTTAAAAAAAGGGGACAAAATGCATTCCTCAAAATATTCGTGACAGGAGCTTTTGATATTTCTCTGAGTTTTTTAATTGTGGGGGGGAAAGGCTTTGGTCTCATGTCATTGCTATATAAATTAGAAACGAATGTATTTTCCCTTGCAATTTTTTTACAGGGTTCACTTTTCTCACACCATGATGATAAATAATGAAACTATTTTATTTACCTTGCTTGGTGAGACAAACATTTACACAGATTTGCAATTGTGAAATCTCAGTACCTGTTTTTTGCTTTAAAAAGTCCTTGAGAATAATTGATTTTAGTTTACCTTGTTGGGTAATTATACTCAGGCAATGAAACAATATCCTGTGGTACATGTGCCAGAAACCAAATATCCTCCCACAGTAAATCCCAGTGTCAAGTGCCAAGCAGTAATTTCATGCCTGGTCTTAATCCTACATGAGGGAAACTTGGAGAAATGTGCAAAAGTGCACGTCAAGCTCTCCTCAGCTCATTTTTCTTGTGAGGTTGGGTTTAATTCTTCCTTGTAAGTCTGTGTTTCTAAATGGTTTACCATGACAAAGTCCCTTAAATAATTTTCCCTAGTATCTTTCCGTCAAAAAAAATACAAAATCTGGGGCTACTACCATGTGCTAGGATGTACATGCACCCAAGAAATCATTTGTCTATGTAAGTAATTCTCTTAAATGTGTATTCTAAAGAACCACAGGTTTGTATGCATGTGGTTTAGATGCTACTGAAAATGGCATACACACTCAAACACAATCACACACACATACACACTACACATTTATAACACTATGGATTGTGTCCCCCAGATGAATTTACTTTTGTTTTTTTAAATGATCTCGTTTATTCCAAGTAACATTCACTGCATTAAAATGAATTCATGTGAAGTTAATAGTCACTGTAAATTCATTAGATTGCTACTTACTATGTTTTACAATCTATTTTTTTCTGTGTATCAATATATTTCTTACAGACAGTACATGCTGACTCTTTCTGTTTGCTTGTTTTAACTGCATGTGACAAGTCTGCCTTTTATTTGGTGTGGTTAGAACATGCACATTTAAAGCGATCATTTGTATAGTTAGATTTAAAGCTAATATCCTGTTTTCTATTTGTTCCTGTCCTTCGTTTCTTTATTTTTTTCTGCCTTCTTTTGGGTTAACGGTTTTCATTTGATTTCTTTTGTTGGTATATCATCTGGTGTGTTGTTGTCATTTTTGGTTGTTACTTTAGATTATTATTAGTCTACTTTCTAATGATATGACACCGCTTCATGGAGAGTCCAATTTTGCAGTTCAACATTCCCATTCCCCTCCCTTGGCTTTATACTGGTGCTATCGTGAGTTTCATTTATATAATCCATAAACTCACACTGCACTTACCCTTGCTGTGTGGAGGTAGCTGAACTTTTGAGCCTTCTTCTGCCAGCCCAGCTCTCCCCTGTCCCTTACACATGCCCCGTTTCCCAACACCCCATCCCAAGAAACAGAAGAAAGTATTGCCCTAGTCCACAACACCAAGTGATTTTCCATGATTTTCTTTGCAGAACATGTTGCTTCTGCCTCCTAATGTTCCCTCTCACTTTTTTCATCATTCTGCTCAGATCTTACCACCCATCATTGAACTTCCTTGCCATTTTGTAGCTTTCCTTCTCTGGGTTGAACAATAAGCTCTCAAATGCAGTAGTTTTTGTTAAGTATTTTAGTTTACCTCTGTACAGATTGCATACTAGTTCTTTAGTAAACAATGAAGGAGAGGTGGGGTGATACATGGAGTAGTTCAAATCCTAGCTCCATTTGCAGTCCAGCTCCCTGCTAATGCATCTGCAAAGGTAGTAGAAGATAGCCCAAACACTTGGGTCTCTGCACCCATGTGGGAGGCCCAGATGAAGCTCCTGGCTCTGGCTTCAGCTTGGCCCAGTTCTGGCCAATGTGCTCATTTGTGGAGTAAGCCAGAAAATGGAAGATATCTTTGTCTTTCCCTCCCTCTCTCTACCTTTCAAATAAATATTATTTTTCTCTTAAATGTACAACAAATAGTCTGACATTAAGTGGTTCTTTTGCTTTGCTGAAGCACTGTCTTTAATTATAAGGTTGAATTACACTATGAACAAAAGTCCTTCAAAGTTTCCTTAGTGGTAAACTAACTACAAAGGGTTTGTTTTAACAGAATTCATAAGCTAAAGGAGTGTTCTCAATCTGTTTAGATCAAGGCCCCCAGTGGTTTATGTGTTCCTTCAGAAACTGATACTAAAATTCTATTTCCACCCTGGTGCATTAATATACAAGACTTAGGAAGTCATAAGCTCATGAGAACTTCATCATCACAGGTGGATGAATCCTGTTACCATGAGAGCTGGATCGTGACACAGTCAGTTTAGCCCTCACTCTCTGCCTCGGATGCTGATTTACAACTTTCTTCTTTCCAGCATGGGATGATACGGCGCCGAGGTCCTTGACAAAGGCTGGCGCCTTGATATTGGCCTTCGCAGCCAATACGAGAAATAAAGCTCATTTCATTATGAATTAGCCTGTCTCTAGTATCCTAATATATGAACCAAGACAACAGTCTTTGAACCCAGATGAAACTACAGACTCCTTCTCTGGAAGAGGAAAAAAAAAAAAAACCAAAACATTTTATGTAAGTGCACTAGATTTTTTTCTTCTGTTTTGGCAGTTAACATTTAAAATATTAAATTTTTATAAGAGAAAAGTTATTTTGATTTTGAATAAAAAAACTGTCATTGCTGAGAATGTTAAGAAAATATTACTCAAAAAAGTTCGCTTTTTATTGTGATTTTAAAATAGTACTACATATTGCATATAATAATTAACCATATTTAAAAATAATGTATAGTGAACCTCATATACCCATGACCTATTAGCCTTGTCTAAATTGTTTGAGTTACAGTTCTACTCATTTCCCAGTTCTTCCATTACTTTTGATGTGATTAAAACCTACAGAACGTTCTATTCATCATGTTACCCACTTTAAGTGCACAGGTAAGTAGTGTTAGGTGTATTCACACAGTTATACAATGATTGAATAGAGCATTTTCCTTTTGCAAAACTGAAACTCTAAACACAAATACTGATTCTTCCTCTCCAGCCCTTGGCAATCACTTCAGATTTTGACGGCTTGGATTCTTTCCCAGGAGGAGAATTAGGCAGTGTTTGTCGTTTGTGTCTGGTTTAATGTACTTACATAAAGCTCTAAATGTTCCTCATGTAATCATATGTCACTGGACTTATTTCTACAATATTCCTGTCCTATTCTATTTCGTGTGCCTGTCACAGAATGCCAGAGACTAGATAATAGTAAAGAAAAACATTTATATTTTTCAGGTGAAAAGTCTGGGAAGGCTTACAGACAGCACCAAGCATCTCATGAGTGTCTGGCTGCATCAGAGCACGGCAGGGGACATCACCTGGCAGGGGATTACACCTGCAAGCCAGGGTGCTTTGGACTACTCCCTATAGTAGGGAGAGCTCAATTCCATAGTTAACTCGCTGTGATAATGACATCAATCCATTCATGAGGGTGTCGTCCTCAGGACTAAATGAAACATTTAAAAAAGTACCACCTCCGAACACCATCATATAGCTATTAAATTCAACATAAATTTTGGAGCGTCTGTTCAAACCATAGCACCATGTTAGGCCCTCTCTATTAAGTAAGTGAAGACCCTGTAAAATATGGAATCACCAGAGTCCTCGTTATGTTCCATAACACACATTCATCACCTAATGCTGGGGCATGTTGTGAGAAATGTGGTGCTAGGCAGTTTAGTCATGTGATCATCACAGAGTGCGCTTACACACACCCACAAGGCTCAGGCAGCACAGAGCAGTCTCAAAGGACTGCCCCTCCTTTGTGGTCCATGTGACTGGAACACTATGATGTGCCACATGCCTTACAGAATTGAGCAGAAAACATTATCAAAGAAGAGAAAGGCGTATTAATGGGCCAAATGTTCAGCTTTTTAAAAAAGTTATCCACTTGTTTCATTGTTATTAAATCTCATTGTCTAGGCTCAGACTGCAATCACAA